CGGTCAATTGAACCCACAGGGTACCGCGGAAATTGAACCCACAGGGTACCGCGGAAAGTGAAAACCGCGTAAAGTGAACAACAGAACATATGGGATTAATTCCAATAGAGACTGCCGACCCCCAAACTCCACTTTTTCTGACACAATACCTATGTTGTAGTAAAAATAACATCTAAATTTTATGATGGTATGCTCACACAATTAATATTTAAGAGAAATACAGTTGCCAGGTTAATGTCCATTCAAATAATGGACTTAAATCCCCCCCCTCTTCCCAGCTCACTGGCCCTTACCTCTCTGAGAAATGATTGGGTGAAACTCTAGATTTTAACGTTTAGTAATAAATAATACCTCAGACTAAAGTTAGGATAATATAATTGACATTTCTGGATTCCTTGCAGGTCAGGGAATATTTTGAATGTAAACTTCATATATTTTGCACAAAAGATAAAATACTTGCTTTGTGTAAACCAAATTATTACATTAGATCTAAAATTTGTATGTCTAATGCAAAATCCATGATGTTTATATTCAAAATGATCATATTGTAAGAACTCCAGCAATGTAAATTATATTCTGGCCGGGTAATTTGTATGAATTTTATGAGCTAAATAAAAAAAAAAAAATTATACTTCACGCGTATATGAGTAGATGCACCGCGGAAAGTGAAAGTCCGGTTCTGGCAAGGTACCGCGTAAATGAGAAATCGCGGAAAGTGAAACCGTGTAAAGCGGGGTAATATTGTATATTGAATCATAGTCACAAGAATAGTCTTAAAGATACAAAGGAATTATTATTTGTAGAAGGAATGTTTGAGAACGAAAGTTGAGTGAATAAACAGAAGTTTGAGGAAGTTATGAATACCAGTTCTAAGTATTAAAAAATATATGTATTTGTAAAGCATTTTTAAATACTCTACAGTACTGTACAGTATTAATAAATTCACATTTTCAAAGTTGATTTTCATTTTTCATTCAATATCCTGTACTCAGTCGGGTGTCCTTGTAGCGTACGGTATGTGGCCAGTTGTCAATTCTCTTTAGTTGTCTATTGTCTCTTTGTATGGGCACACAAACGTACATACATGAAGATATCTCACATTCAGGAATGAGGTAGAATAGAAACTCACAATGCGTTTTCTGTATATATATTGTTGTACAGTGCAGTGCTAAGGAGTTACTACAGTAGGTGAGGAGTAGCTTGCTCAGAGGGCCTGTAGGGCGAGGAGCTTTCTGAGGGAGCTGGGTGGTGAGGCGCTGGAGAGAGATCTTGCTGGTCTAGTAGGTCAGAGTAGAATGGTCTCCCTGGTCAGCCACGCCCGTATTTATACAATTCAGAAACAACAGGATTTGGGGTGCGAGTAGCGTGAGAGCCAATCACAGAGGAGGAGGCCAGGCATACCCGGCACTCTGGTCCTAGCGTTGCTACGTGTGCGTCCGCACTGGAGAGTAGGTCTAGCAGCATCGCTGGCTGTACGCTGATTGGCTGGTAGGCGCGCGGGAGCTCAGTCGTCACTTGTAGGTGATGGGGTCCACTACATCCTTACTTGGAGCTGGCGGACGCTCGTCCCACAAGGGGTCACAGCTCAAGATTAAAGAAGCCACAAGTCCAGAAAACTGTGAGGGCAAACTTTTTTCGAGTGAGAGTTGTGAACTCTTGGAACAATCTACCAGAGAGTGTTGTGACGGCACCGAGTGTGAGCTCTTTCAAGACCAGACTTGACCAACACTGGAGCGGGTTCAGGTACAGTCAGGAACTGGTGCATGCCCAGTACTTGCCAACAGTGCATGTTGATTTTGGATTTTAGTATGTGTTGTTTTTTGTGTTCAGGTGAGGAGACGGTGGATCCATAAACTCAAAAGTGATTCTTAGCATTTTAACCAGTTAGGAAACGTCAGATCAGCTTTTCAAAAGTGTGAATAGCGTTTTTTTTTTTGTATATTGTCCCACATCTCCCCTCTACTTCAAAGCCCTGCTGCCCACTTTAAACAACTAATATTGTTGGTAATTTTATCAGTTAAAATACTCAAAAAATATAAATTTCCGACAAAAATGTCATAGAAGAAAAGTGTTTAAAGATTATTTAAACTACATGATAGGTATATTTAAGAAAGCCAAAAGTTGTGGGGCAATTAAAGCAATAATACCAAAACTACTAATTTATATATATATATGTATATATATATATATATATTTATATATATATATATTTATTTTGGATTCCTCCCCTACAAACACCGTGTGTCGCTGACTAGCCGACCCCCCGCGAATTCACCAGCCTGCACCTCGTGGGCAAGGTCAGGTAACCAGCGCCCCCGAACAAAGCAGAGGTCTACAATCAAGCAACGCCTACCCCCGCTATATAAGACCTCACCTGGCCGTGACCTGCCCTTCCTCTTGCTACAGCCGCAGCAAGCAACACCTCCTCTGAGCACCCTCACCAACCAGCTCTCCCTACACACGCTTGTAACCACGCTGCCTCCTCCCAGCACCAGCCACCAAGCTGCGTTGTACATCCAATATAATATGTATACAGAGAGCACATTGTGAGTTTCCTTTCTCCATCCCACCCTGAGTGTGAACCAATATCACAAAACCCCACAATTGGTGACCCCGGAGTGACCACTCACACAGGATGGAGGAGAAACATATCATGTAAACCTACAATTGGTGACCCCTGTAGCTGTGAACACCACACTCCTTTCTGCTGCCTTACTCCTGGAGCTGAGAAGATCGTCCTGCCTGCTGCCAGCCTAGGCCAACCGCCACCCGCACCACGTGCTACCCCACTCCTCCACGACGACACCACCCGCACCACGTGCTACCCCACTACGACACCATCTCACGACCGTGTGACACACTTTCGCAAGAATGGACGGACGGATCTCTCTACCGACTTTCAACCACAACGTCAAGGACTGGTTAGATCATGTGGAAGCAATCCTCATCGGCTCACAAGCTACTGACGAGCAAAAGTACAGTGCCCTGCTCTCTTCCTTGTCCACGGAAGTCGCCACGCATGTATCACGGACTATTTCCAACCCTTCAGAGAACAACAAATTCGCCACCCTGCGGGACGCCTTAAAAACGCATTACCAACGGACCCGCCCCAGTCCCCTGCAGAACCTATCTTCTATCTCCCTTGGAAACTCAACTCCGGGACTTCTCTGGGAGGAGATGTGTAGGCTGAACTCCCGGCACACAGACAGACTTCCCGACCCTATCCTGCGCCAGCTTCACGCACAAAAGCTCCCCACACAAGTACGTATCATCTTGTCCGCAGTAGATTACTCGACGACACCAGAACTCTACGCAACCGCGGCAGACAGAATATTCAACGAGTGCGCGGCTGCGTGCCTGGCTGCCGCGGACAACCCAACGACCACACCAGTACTTACCTCCGAACTTGTAAACCAGGTCAACACCCCTCAGCCGAACAATACCTCACAAGACATCAGGGACCTGTTGCAAACTTTGAACCGCAGGATGGACACCATTGAACAGTTCTGCTCCTCCATGCCTGCTGCTGGACCTGTTCCTAACTCACGCACCACGTCCTACCGACCCCAACACACCCGTCCTGCCTCAGACGCCGGCCCAAGCCCCCAGCACAGTGTATCTACCCCCTGTTGGTACCATCAACGTTTTGGTGCTAATGCTAGATGCTGTGAGGCCCCCTGCAACCACACGGCGAAGCTACATCGACGGAGACAGGTAGGCGCCATACCCTCCGCCACTATCAAGCAGCACATCACACGCCTTACTTCTGACCTTGACCACTTCACTCCTGCTGCCCGTCACGACCTACTACAAACACTAGTCAGGCGGTTTCTGCATTCAAGGCTACTGCCCCATGCCAGCCATCCCACCGCCCTGAACACATTCATCCCGCACCTCCTCCGCCAGTCTGCCCACAATTACCCCTTGCAGCACCACCTCACCCACAACATTTCTGGGCACCCTCTTTTCTTCCTCAGGTACCCACTGCACCTGTCTTGCACCCTCCTGCTGTCATGGACCCTCCTGCTGTCATGGACCCTCCTGCTGTCATGGACCCTCCTCCCAACGTGGCCCCTGCTCCTGACTCGGACCCAGACACCCCACCCGGCACCACTGAGGACTGCATACCCGCTGCGAGAGAAGCACCACATTCCTCGCCTGTAAAACCTTCTCTTTTCCACAAACATACTCCTCCCTCTACTTCTCCCACAGATGTCGTGTCTCTAGACAGAGTCGTCTCCCGTAGCGGTCGGCTCATCCACACCCCCACCCGTTATGTCTCACATGTGGGATACAACCCTGGCGACAATAAGTCTCCTGCACCGCCCGGAGGGAAGGGGGAGTATTGTAGTGGATTCCTCCCCTACAAACACCGTGTGTCGCTGACTAGCTGACCCCCGCGAATTCACCAGCCTGCACCTCGTGGGCAAGGTCAGGTAACCAGTGCCCCCGAACAAAGCAGAGGTCTACAATCAAGCTACGTCTACCCCCGCTATATGAGACCTCACCTGGCCGTGACCTGCCCTTCCTCTAGCTACAGCCACAGCAAGCAACACCTCCCCTGAGCACCCTCACCAACCAGCTCTCCCTACATACACTTGTAACCACGCTGCCTCCTCCCAGCACCAGTCACCAACCTGCATTGTACATCCAATAATAATATGTATACAGAGAGAGCACATTGTGAGTTTCCTTTCTCCAGAATAGATATCGATTCATTTACAGTGCATTAAACCCCTCCAGTTCCCCATGGTCCAATAAGTAGTGGTAGGTTTTCCTCTTGTGACGTCATGGTGCAGCCCTGTGAGTCTGGTTAATGTTCTAAAGTCACCACGTAAACGTTTACTAATTATTTATATTTTCTCCTAAAGGATAAAGTTAATGGATTTTTTCTAAGCTTATTAAATATTTATTGTAATTATAATCATATTAAGTTAGGTTTTCTTAGTTAATGTTGCTAAAAAAAAATAATAGTTTGTATCATGTTCGTGGTTGTGTGTGTAACATAGTCACCCATCACACACCGTCTCAGCTGAGCTACCAAAGGCTGTAATTATTATAGTCTTCCTTCTACCGTTTGTCGTTGATGGTAAGTCCTTATATTACATAATTTCCTTCATTAAAACAACGACAAAAAATGATAGTAATAACAGGTAGTTGAACATGTATTGGGTGGACGTCTAGTGTGTTAAGAGGCAACAGGTCTGAGTGGGAGGTGACGGATAATAATCTTATGTCAGTTTTTACTAAGAGATAATTCTTGTCACACAATATAAGTTTGTATGAGCATTTCCATAATTTATTTTGCAGATTTAAATGTAGTCTCAGTATGTATCGGCATTACCTTAATGGGGTCTGACTAATTACCCAAATGTAGTCTCAATTAAGTCAATTAATGGTCCTAGATGAATAAATCGGGTTACCAATCTTTTCTCGACTAGTATTTGGTGTCACGAAGTAAATAAAAATGGAAAACGTAATTTAATTTGAGTTAATAGATCGAGTGCATGTACCTAACCTAACCTAACCATACACCAGTAAATTTGATCACAAAACAATTAAAGGGCATTTAAATTAAATCACATGAAAACTCAGAAAGATTATAGGAAGTCCTTAACAAACACTGGTAATGAATTTTTTTTTTTTTTATCACATTCGTCACTTATCAGCTTACTACTAACCGTTTGGGCGGCTTATCCAGTGTTAGCACAGGAGGAAACCAGGGACCGAGGAACCTGTGGTGTTTGGTAGTGAGTCACACTGGATAACACCCTTCTCATGTGTATCTGGGTCGAGGCTCGAACCCTTGACATATTGGTGAGTTATGTTCATTACCACTAACACCCTCGAATTTTTTCACGAGATTTTTTATTTCTGGGTATTGTTTTACCCTCACACAACCATGGAATCTTAAGACTTTCAGCTTTGCAATCAATAGTTCAGACAATTCTATGACACTTTTCATCTCTGACGTTTCCCTCGTAAATGACTAACATACCAGGGGGCTGGGGGGGGGGGTCCAAAGAGGTGAGATGAGGTTAAGTTAGGTTATTTATAGGTCACTTGTGTGGGAAACGTCTTAGATGAAAAGTGTCATAGAATTGTCTGAACTATTGATTGCAAAGATGAAAGTCTTAAGATTCCATGGTTGTGTGAAAATAAAAATTTACTGATTTATGATGTATTTTGGTTTGGTTCAGATCTGACCTTCATTTCCACGAGAAATGTGTCATTTTTAAAAATAGATGCAAGTCATCCTTGATAAAAAACTGCTATTTTCCATCAAAAACGAAGGTGAGATCTGAGCAAAATACATCAGAAACCAAACATCGAGACCCCCTAACTTTCACTAAATTAACCTACCTTAACCTGAACTAACCTAACCTCACCTAATCCCTGCAGGGAGCCCTAACCACATGCCTCAAGGCTCCATGATGGGTGGAGATTTATTTATCAAATTTCTTAGGTGTTACTCACCTGTGCAATTTTTCTGGAAGAAACACATTTCCAAGAGGCTTCCAGGGTTGAGGAATGTATACAGTATATGAGGTAGAAATTGCCTAAAATTAAGTGCTTCTTTACGATTTGAAAATGTGCTAAACCGAATAATAACCCAAACGTTTAGTATGGACTGAAAAATGGCAAATTCAATTTAATGTAAGATTATGTAAAGTTATAAGGGCAGGAAATGGAAATAAGTGAACCAACTATTAGCTGAACAAGATAGATAAGACAGCAATGTGTTTGTGTACTACAGGATAAGGCTTACACAGTACAGTACAGTACAGTACAGTACAGTACAGGGTAAAGGTCTAGTTTCATACAACCACATAATCTTGAGAATTTTATCTTTGCAACCAATAGTTCAGACAATTCTAAGACCCTGACAAATAACCTAACCTAACCAACCAATAGTTCGGACAATTTCAAGACCCTGACACATAACCTAACCTAACCAAAGCAACCAATAGTTCGGACAATTCTAAGACCCTAACAAATAACCTAACCTAACCTCCTAGAATTGTCGAGATTTCGTGGTTATATTTTAGCCTGTACTGTATAAGAAGCAACAATAATACCCTGTACTGTTCTGTACTTCAGGGAGTGTTAGTAACAGGAGCAGTGGTGTTGTGTTAGATTTATGCAGTGTTGTACGCGTCGACGAAAAAAAGTGGCGCCGCCAGCGTAAACAGCCGAGAAATTTGATGTGGTCAGCGTTGGCGTAAACGATTTCATAAATTGACGCCGTTAGCGTCAGCGTCAACGAGCTTTCAGTGACGTACAAATGCAGCCCCGAAACGCGTATTCTCCTGTGTATGGGAGTAACATATGCAAAATAAAAAAATGTTAATTAATTTTTAATAATTTATTATGATTTATATTATATCATTTTAATTATTCATTTGTTCCCCCGCAAGAATACAAGCATCTCAAAATGCTTGTCACTCATTCTGCTGCGCTTGGGCCTAAAGACGTCCTTGCCCATGGAGAACATGCGCTCCACGGCAGCACTAGAGGGGATGGGGGTGTTGTATTTGATGAACAACTCCCTCATGGCCTTGTCGGTCGTCTTTATAGCAAGATAATTGAAAATCGAACTTGGAAAAAATTAAAAATTTAAGAAGTTGATAAACAAATTGACGCTTGACACTTGACGCTCCGCTCGGGTGAAAAGTTGACTGCGTCACCTGTAGCGTCACTTGCCAAAAAAATTGATGGCGTCAGCGTTAACAAAAAAGCTGCCTTCGTCTATTGACAGTGTTAAATTAACGGCATCAACGTACAACACTGGATTTATGGTATATCAAGTGTTAGTGAGACCTTACATGGATTATGTGGTTCAAGTTTGGTCACCATAATATACAGTAGAATGGATATAGATTCCCTTAAAAGCATTCAGAGGAGGCTGACAGTTGATCCCGAGTATTAGAAACCTTCCATACAGAGTTAGATTAAGAAAAGGTGAATTATCTTTTGGTTTATATTGACGACTGACCCACCACGGCTTCTTTTTCATAACAACTAGAGTTGGGTTAGGTTTAATTTAGAAATAACCACTTTTAAACACATTTGCCAAAACTATGACAGTGTCTACTGTAAAACAGTGAAATTGTGGCATTTTTAAATCGTTTTCTAAAGAAAAGGGGGAAGTATGACTGGAAGATATGGTTAAATAAAGGTGATGTAAATAAGGTTCTCAATCTATCAAATCAGATATTAAATGAGAGAAATTTAGGTTAATATTCCAGTGAATATTCACGGAAATTTATTTTGATTCTTATATAGGGAGGTAAATAAGGTACTTAATCTATCAAATCCATGCATCTACTGAACAATATCTTAAGGGGCTCAGCAAGCTTGTTGCACAACTCTGAGCACTCTGGTATGCACCATGTTGGGGCCAGGGCTCTTATGAACCATTACTTTTGACAATTTGTTTCTTTCCTCAAATGCAGGAAGATTCTTCGCATTCACTCTCGTGAACACTGAGGAAAAGAATCTGTTTAACGTCTCCGCCTTGTCCTGGTCTGAGTCTGTGTAACCACCATCTTCGAGCCTCAGATCCGATATCCTCACACTTGTTTTTAATTTTGATTTTGCATAACAGTAGAAAGCCTTTGGGTTTGACTTGACCTTGTTTGCAATCTGCCTCTGTAACTGTTTCTCAGCCCTTCCTCACTCTGACTTTGCTTGGTTCCTGGACCTGGCATACATCCTCCTGTCCTGTTCGTCATTTGGCGCAACCCACGTCTTGAATTTGTGAGATTTTTCTTAACTTTGTCAACCACCACAGGGTTCACATGTAACAGTCCCCTTGTATTCTTGGAGCCAGTGGGTTTGGTCTTGGGTATATATTTGTCAATTAAATAGTTCACCTTCCTGGCTATGATATTCAGCATAATATCTGTGCTCATGTATCTCAGTGAGTCAGGCCAGTGAATACCCCTCATCTCCTCTCCTCATCCCATCTTAATTACCCTTGTAATATTTTAACCTTGACCTGCTTTTATCGTGAGCCAAGTGACAGTTATATTACAAGGACAATGTTACGTGGTGACTGGTGCCGACGGGACTAGATTCCCCAACTTGGTCGCCATACCTAGATGATCCTTATTGATTGGTATTATTCTTATTGTTGTGAAGTTCCCTGTGGACATACTCCCAACAGGTATTCACTTTTATTTAAATTTTCATAGACATTTGAAACAATAATTTGGATTTCAGCAATGAAGTAAAGTTAAGTGTGTTACTGAGACTACTTTGGGGGAGATTTTAGTCTATTTGCTGTTGTAAATTCTTTAATGCTTAGTATTCAGTGTTTAGTATTGCTGACTGGACAGAACAGACTCAAATTAATACTAAAAAATAACTTAATTAAATGTTCTCTCTTCTCTAATTCAGAAAGATTAAGAGGAAATATTTATTCGACTTCAAGCAAGTATGGACAAGTTGCGCAAGGCTCTGAGTGGCCGGGATGCCTCTGAAGAACAGGAAGCGGAGGAAAGAGGAAATATCATCACTCAGGTAGATTGTTGTTATCATCAGTATATGTATAGCTATATGGTGTGGTGTGTGTTGTCATAGGCTTAACTTTTTGCAGCTTGTTATTGTAGCTTTCTAAGATTAAATATTAAGGATTTCCAGAAGAGTTATACTATACTGTACTGTCTTAACTTTTTTTATGCAGATGTTCTCTGAAATTTCTCAAGGCTTTGATGGTCATGTTCAATGTTCATTATAAATTGTAGTCATTTGTTAAATGTTTATTTTTGTGTAAAAAATAGTTATAAATTAATTTTGATCAGACAAATTATTGTGAACTATATTTATATAAAAATGGAACATACAGTACGTGTAACTTACTTGAAATGTGATCATGGTATATGTGGTCTTTTGCCTGCTGAGATTCAATGTCACGATGTGTAAGAGGATGCACCTGGGGCATACCAACGGTAAGGAGGCGTATCATATGTCCCAACGGGATGAAGAAACTGCACTATTTGAGACTGAATGTGAGAAGGACATAAGTGTGTATGTTGACAATGAGCTGAAGTTCTTGGGCCATTGCGAGAAGAAGGTAAATCAGGCAAATAAATTATTGGGTCTTATAAGAAGGTCGTTCAGATATCTAGACGGTCCGTCCCTTGTAACGATCTTCAAGAGTGAAGTGCTTCCCCATCTGGAGTACTGTACTGTCACCCTGTCTGGTCCCCAAGATATGCTAGGGACTGTCAGTTGTTTGAATATGTTCAAAGGAGGGCCACCAGACTGATGCCTGCACTTCGGCACCTAAGCTACCCTGAGAGATTGGAGCGCCTAAACTTGCCTAGCTCATACTACAGTCGGGCAAGGGTTGACCTAATTGAGGTGTATAAGCATCTCAAGGGGCACTACTCAGTCGAGTGTCCTTACTTGGAGCTGGCGGACGCTCGCCCCCACAAGAGGTCACAGCTCAAAATTGAAGAAGCCGCAAGTCCAGAAAACTGTGAGGGCAAACTTTTTCGGAGTGAGGGTTGTAAACTCTTGGAACAATCTACCAGAAAGTGTTGTGACGGCACCGAGTGTGAGCTCTTTCAAGACAAGACTTGACCAACACTGGAGCGGGTTCAGGTACATTCAGGAGCCAGTGCATGCCCGGTACTTGACAACAGTGCGTAACAGAGACGCGACCGATCGCCCAAGTGGCTAATGAGCCTATCAGTGGTGAAGAGGATAAAAGTAATACACGAGCTACATGTATTGCAGCAGTGTCACGGGCTTTACTTTTTTGACATTCTCACTTAATATTCATTAGACTCTGCCTACTACAGTAGCAGCTGGTACGGTCTGTAGCATTTGGTTAGTTACTGGTTGTTAAGTGAGTTGCTCCAGCACATCATTAAAACTCACTTCCAGTTTAACTTATTCAAATTGTAATGGTTGTTAAAATGAATATACATACAGTAGACCCTCGCTAAGCATGGCTTTCTCATCGGTATCCATGGTTTTTGCTCTGTATACCATTCACCAACCACAGCATTGAATTTCGAGCATCTGCGGATTAATGAATTCCTCCAGAAATGTGAAGAATGAATAAAAATAATACTAATAGTAAATAAAACAAACGAAAAAACTTCATTGCCATTTGGCAATTGTTTCATTAAGGACACGGGAGACAGGAGCGCGCTCTCCCCCTCCCAAGTGTTACAGTATAAGCTAACTCTCACACACGTAACAAATGTATATTCGCTTTGTTTTTGACCTTATGATAATCATTTCTTATATTTTTGCAGTCTATGTGAATGATTGTGTGTGCTTGTACTGTAATAGTAAAAAAAATTGAATAAAATTATGTACAGTAAAGCCTACGATAACAACGGTTCGACCGACAACTTTTCCATTAAAGACCTTAGTTAATTTAGGACCCAATTCAATTTATGTCCTTATTTCATTCGTATTTACAACCAAGCTATAATAAAAATAAAATAAAATTACATTTTCATATAAATAATAACTAAATCTTGATATGTATTATAAAAAAAATGTAAAAAAATGAAGAGCGCCTTGTGCAAAGAAGCTGCCTGGCTAATGAGTGGTAATGCGCATTGGCAGTAAACAACAGTCGGAGCTTGTTTTCACGCATCTGAACAGGAACAGGAGAAAAACTTTCTCAGGTTTCTTACAACATTTTTCCATCCCTATTCAACATGACCAAGAGAGCAAGTGATGGTAGTGTTGTTTAAAAAGCTAATAGAAAGTGTATAAGCTTAGCCGAGAAACTAGATGTGTTAAAACGATATGAAAAAGGTGAGAGGTCTGTGGATATTATATAGAGCAAGCAATGAACATATTTTCTGAAGTGGATCCATTAACAGAACAAATCATTAAAATTTAAATCAGTGCAAATGACCTCTACATAAAGATGTATAATGAGAAAAGAAAGCAGCTGTGCAAGGTTCTTTTGACAGCTTTATTATTTGAAGGCTCCAGGGCCGATCTTTTGGTGAAGAGGATAAATGAAAAAGAAAAGTAATCAGAGACGTGACCGATTGCCCAAGCGACTAACGAGCCGATCAGTGGCGAAGAGGATAAAAGTAAAGTAAAAGAAGGCCTAAACCATCAACTCCAGCGACACCATCAAATTCAGCATCATAAGCAGCTTCAACATCAACTTCAGGTTCAGTAACATTTCAGCAATAGCTTTATGGAAAGCTACAGCTTCAGCCAGAGTTGAACCTGATGACTTTGTCATCTGAGTAAAAACTCGCACAATATTCATTGGCTGTCCTTATGTTTTAGACTTTACCACCATTGGTGAGTAGAATTTTTGTTTTACATTCGTAAATATTATTTAAAACATATATGAACAGTAAATAAGTGTTGCTTTCATATTCATATGTAGAGAAATGATGATTTGTTTTCACATGTACGCACTTCTGTTCATATGTTGGCGTTCCCAATCCATCTCTTTTTTTTTCTTTGCCATTAGTTGTTAGCTACTTCTATTGTCCTATTTATTAACTTTTAATACATTACTTAAAACATATGTATTAATTTATTTACATTAATTTTACTGCAGCTACATCCAGGGTCTTTTTTCATTTTTTCGTGTAGAACCATCGTCCTGACTCCCGGCTGTAAACACAAATGAAAACAATGGCGTCCCATCTCCTCTTGTGTGACCATATTATTATTCATTTATATTGTATAAGGTGCATTCAGAAACATAATTTAAAGAATACAGTTAGCAATTTTCATTAATTGTATTGTTTTGGGGGTAAAAGACGGTAAAAAGCCACACAAAAGATATGAAAAAGTCACACTTGGGAATGTATCTCATTATTATTGCATTATTTTAATGGTAATTAATGATTCGTGATACAATGATTCACCTTACACTGCAATATGGGAGGACACATTACAGTCGTTATTCGAGGCTTTACTGGATATATACAGTATATACACCTGAAACTACGAGTTGTAAAAGAACACTAACTCAGCTCACAGCTTGGCCTGGTAGGGAGAGCCTGAGATCCCCGACACCACATCCCCACCCCTTCTCCCCCATTCCCTTCTCACAATCCAACACTGACTTCTGTGAACATAAGACATTTTTATTCTCTTTATTTTTGACCTTATGATAATCATTTCTTCTAATTTTTTTTTTTTTTTTTTTTTACACATTCTGTATGAACTATTGTGTGTGTGCATTTGACAGTAAAATAAAAAATATAATGCGAGTTGAAAAATAACAGTAACACAGCTTGGCCTGGTACTGGGATGTAGCTACAGGGACAGTTTAACTTGGTGGCTTGCCAAGTCCACACACACACACACACACCATGCTCTTCATATTTCTTATTTTATAGGAACATGCCATCTCCACAGATATGTACTGTACTGTAAAATTTATATTACTATTTAATTTATATTAAACTATTTTATATGTATTTGACTCAAATTTAATTAAATGTACAATACTGTACAAGTATTGTTTAGTGAAGAAACAGACAACTTAACTAGGCTTTAGCGAATGTTATCCGTGGCCATGGAACCTAACCCTCTATTTCCCATAAGCCTTCAGTCTTGCCAACCATAGATTTGCCAGGAACTGCTGTATTCTCTTATTCTATATACTGTACAGCAGTGATTCTCAAACTGGGGGTCCGCGAAAAGTTTTTGAGAAATACAGTAGTGCGTTAACGTTTGTGAGAGATTTGTACTGCAGTTGGAAAGATACTTTTGATAAGCCCTCAATCAATAGTTAATACGGTAGTCATGAACCACAGTACCTTTAGGTAGGATGGATCAATGGATATAAAAATCAAGAAGAAAGTTGTGTGAGTATAAATTTTGAAATGAAAAGGTTAGGTCTAACACAACACTGTAGTAGATAGAAGTACAGTACAGCACAGTGCAGCATAGTACTGTACTCTCAGGTCCAGTATACTGTAGTGGGTTTTCTTCATATTGTAATGAATGGTGGGTGTGTTGCTAGTCTGATTTTAAAATAGTATTAACAATAGGAATGAAAATTGTCTACTGTCATCGTGAACACACTGAACATTAAACATTGTAACCTAACAACAAACATCATTATTGTTTATTGTTCTTGGTGAAAGTAATATTCTGTAATTGATTGTGTTGTACAAGTTAGCCATGATGTTGGTATCTGTTCTTGAGTGTCAATGTTTAATAATTGTCTTCTGAAACCCATGATAATTTAATGTTTGTCTTTTGAACTCTGTGATCATTAACTGTGTTGCCAGTAGCACATTGTGTGTTGCTGATGACTGAGCCTCACTAACTACTAAACTCCACCTCTTTCTTCCTCAGACAGAAGACACGCCACTCTTGCGTGTAAGTGTTGCAGGTCCTGCTCCAATACTTAAACATTTTAATATTTTGCTTTTTTATATATTTATAGAATATTCAGCTTGTCTTTATTTCTAGCTTATAGAAAAAAACATGTATATACAGTACAGGACATACTTATATACTGTATTATATTTTTTATAGATGCATGTGACATTCTCATAGACAGAATACTGAGTAGCATTGGACTTAGTAATTATTTATTTTATGCTTAATTGTTCTGAAATTGCAAAAACATAAAAAATGTAATGAAGTATCACTATATTTTTTCTTATAAATCTTGTCACTCACGTGTGACTTAATACCCCAGTAATGGACAGATAACTGAGAACAGTATGAACAGCATAATTAATAGATAATACTCCACATTACAGGTAATTGTATTTTTGTTATGTTTTACTTTACCAGTTTATTATATCCAGGTGAGTTAATATTGATAATTCTCCCAATACAGTTCAGTTTTGTTTATTATATAATGTTGGAAACTAAACACCAAAGAATCTCTCAAGTGCAGGTTAACATTTTCATTTTCCACCACACTGAGAAATTACATTACTAAAATTAACCATAGGTACTGAAGTAATGTACGTAACTACAGGAGAAACGGAGAGAAGGTTTTCAGGTCAAGAAAAGGAAAGGAGAAAAAAAATGGAGTCCAGTGGTGTTGTAGTGAATCTGAGAAAGTTTTAAACATTTAAAGATGACCGCTGTGTAAAATAGTCAAAAAAATGGTCTATTTTACTGTAAATTCTTGATTTTCAAGTGGGCTCTGTTCTTAAAAAAAATCGTGTTTATGGAATTAACACAAATCAGATTTTAGCTTCAGGTGGGATATTAGAGTACCGTATGTGTGCGGTTGAAACCTTGAAAATTATTTTATTTTATATACCGTACAGTATATACATATCCCTGCCAAACTCCTTGTAGACAATGGCAAATGAGGGTTACTTCCAAATTCAGCTCTGTTTGGAGAGCCCACACTTCAAGGTGTTTAGAATGATGTGAATTATTGGGTAATTGATGAAAAGGGAGAATCTGGTTATGAGATTTTTATATAAACAAAGGACTTGGTTCTGTATTAAGTGGTTAAAGTGTCAGGAGGGAATTGGTTGTAGGAAAGTGATAAGTGTTTTGAAAAGCAAGAGTTTTTTATTAACTTGTGAAGGTGTACATTCAACATATTGTATATGGTAAAGAGCCAAAAGTGATGACATTTGGAAAGGGGAAGAGGTCATCAAGGAACATATTTAGTTTACTAAACTAAACTGAGGTGGTCTCATTGTTGTTAAATAAGAAGCCACATTGAGATCATATTTTGAAACAAGAAGTGAATCCAGAATAATTTTTTTTAATTAGGTAGATTGTTTTATTCAAATACAGTAATCATATTTTAACTGAGAGTACATTCTCTGAAGAGCACAAACATGTAATGGTTTAACATATGAATTTGAAGGAGGAAAGACAGTGGTGAACAATAAAATGTATCATACAGTATGTGGAAGAGAAAGATGGAAGGGGTGTGGTAAGTGGAAGAAGCAGAATTGATTGAAAATTTATAATGGGCAACAAGGGGCACTGTAATTTGATAAAAGACATAAAACAATAAATTTAACAATGGTTTAGAGGGATAGTGTTTGGTAATGCAATTAGAATACTGTAATTTGAGAAATGAGATGATCGAAAGTAAGATATACAGTGGTCCCTCGGTTAACGAGCACAATCCGTTCCAGCAGTTACTCGTTAACCGAAAATCTCGTTAACCGAAACCATTGTTTCAATGGGTTTTTGGGTAATTGGTTCCAGCTCACCGAAAATTGCCTAAATTCAACAAAAATGTTAGAAAAGTTCACTTACTTTGAGGTGTGTATGTAGAAGGCTCCTGGATGATGATGATGTGAATTTGAAGTGGGAGGTGAAGGAGGAGAAGGGAGAAGAGAAGGAAGTGGAGGTGGAGGAGAAGCATTTTACTGCTTCTTGGAAGGTGAGTCACCTTCCATGAAAATGTCAGGAACCTCTGGACTGACATCCTCTCCTTCTTGAAGTGGAAGGCTGAGGGATAGCATCTTGTTCCCTTTGCCTTTTACTGAAGAAAGTGTCAATTGTGGTCTGTGGGGCATCTGTCCTCCTCACCATGAACTTATGTTTAAAGAAGGAGACCACTGAGTCCTCAACATGACACAAAGTTAGATCAGTTTTTTCCACATCTGGGTGCTTTGAAGCCAGTTCCCTGAACTTGTCCCAGTGGTAAATCACATCTTTCAACTGTTTAGCTGACATATGGTCATCACTTTTAATTTCCTCCTCACCACTGTCAGCCTCTACCTGTAACATCTCATCCAGTTGCTTCAAGTCATCAGGAGTAAGTTCCTCCTCATGAGACATCACAAGCTCTTCCACATCCTTCTCCTCCACTTCAAGGCCCAATGACTGACCAATGGACACAATCTCCTGGTCCAACTCTGTTTCTTCCTCAAAATCATGGACTACTGATGGCCACAGTGCTTTCCACGAAGAATTGAGGGATTTAGTTGAGACTTCTTGCCATGATGACACAATCAATTTTACAGCATCCAGGATGTTGAATTGTGTCTTCCAGAAATGTTTCAGTGTTAGTTCAGGATCATTGGAAGTTGCCTGATGACACTTCCTAAACATTTTCTTCATGTACAACTTCTTGAAGTTGCTGATCACATTCTGGTCCATTGGCTGTATGATTGATGTAGTGTTTGGAGGCAAAAACAACACTTTCACAAAGTCAAATTGATACTCCAAATTTCTGGCAAGGTCAGGGTCATGACCAGGAGCATTATCCATGAGGAGAAGAGCCTTTAAAGGGAGTTTATTGGTGGTTAGGTAGCTCTTGACAGAAGGGCAAAACACATCAACAGCCCATTCATTAAAGAGCTGTCTTGTCACCCATGCCTTACGTTTGGACTTCCAATAAACTCAAGCTTTGTTCTTACCACTTTCTGTTGCTTGAACACCCTGGGGTTTTCAGAGTGGTAGACAAGCATAGGCTTCAGTCGGAAATCCTCTGAAGCATTGGCACCAAGCAATAGAGTGAGACGGTCCTTCGTGGGTTTATGCCCAGGTAAAGAGGCTTCATCTCTGGTGATGAATGTTCTTTTGGGTATCTTTTTCCAGAACAGCCCAGTTTCGTCCACATTGAACACTTGCTGTGGAAGATAATTTTCTTCTTCCATCAGTTTTTTAAATTCATCTAAAAACTTTGCTGCCCCTTCCTTATCAGCACTAGCAGCTTCACCATGCCTAACAACACTGAAAATGTCACTTCTTTTCTTAAATTTTTCGAACCAGCCTTTGCTGGTCCGAAAATCTTCAAAGTCTGTGCCTGAAGAACCAGGTTGATCTGTCTTTAAATGTTCGTAAGTCTCCCTGGCTCTTTCACAAATGAATTCAGTAGAAGCTGAATCACCTTTCATCTGTTTTTCCCTAATCCAGATGATAAGTAACCTCTCAGTTTCTGCAATTAGGGATCTACTTTTAAACACTCTTGTAGATTTGTCTCTCACTTTCACTTCTTTAAATTTGTCTTTCTGTGCAAGAATTGTCGACACAGTAGATGTCGACATGCCATATTCTTTGCATAGCGCATTTGTTCTAATGTCTTGTTCATGTTTTTTTTATGATTTCCTGCTTGGTTTGGATTGAAATCGCTTTTCTTGATCTCTTAGGCCCCATGCTGGATTCAAACAATGTCAACACGCGCTATATATTGTCAATATGTAAAATAAATTTCAAAATGACCAATAATTTGCTTGGAAACACAGAAAAAAAGTGTTTAGTTGAAGAGTCTCAAGCAAGATGTTACCTCCAGTGAAAACAGAGAGAGACTAACACCTGTTTGCTGTGTTAAGAAGCTGGATGCCGCACATTAAGCTAGTCACTTTACCTTCAATTATGTTCAATAATTGTTAAAATGACTAAAACATTTAATATTAAACTTTTATTATTATTGAATAGTATAGACTTCTTGATATATACTAAAATAGTAAGGAATTTAAGCCCTAGAACCGATTAATGTATTGGCGGACTAATACTACAGCTGGTTGACCGCCCAGTGCAAACCAAATTTGTTGAGGTCGGCTCGTAAGAAACTCGTTAACCGAGGGGTTGCTCGTTAACCGAATTTAAGAATCTTTTGGGAGGTAACTCGTTAACCGAGGCGCTCGTTAACCAAGGGACCATTGTATAGAGGGAGAGGGAGAGAGCTAAATATGTAATGAAAGAAGGTAAAATGAAAATACAAATGAGCTTGAATATGTTCCGTGATTTCAGAAGTTTTAGCAATCACTTTAGTTATGCAGTTGCCACTTGTTTGTACAGTAATAAAGATAAACTTTGTAAGTGTATATATGAGGAATGGTGAAGAGCATGAGTAGCTGGCATCACTGGGTTAAGGAAATAAATTAAAAGTTAGATAAGAGGGAGATAGGGTTTTGTGAGAGGGTAATGAAGGAGGAGAGAACCATACAGTGCTATATGGTATAGACTAGTGTAGATTATAAAGATTTATGTTGTCTTACAGAATGGAGAACCATGTTGTGTCATGGAGTAAAGAACCATGTTGTGTTGTAGTGTAGTGAAGGAGCATGTTGTGCTATAGTGTACAGTACATATATATAGCAAGACAAGAAGGGTGGTATATCCAGGGAATTTAAACATCTATTCTCCTTTCTGTAATAAATACATTTGAAAACATGGATAATTTGCATACAAGAGATTTTACATGATTACATTAAGAAAGCTTGAATATTAAGAAGACTATTTGTAACTATTTTCCTAAAGAGAACATACATAACAATAACATAATGACTCTATTAACCTTATTTACAGGTGATTGACACCAACAGTCTCAGCTGGAGCACCAGAATCAAAGGCTTTGCAGTTTGCTTCGGCCTTGGATTTTTATTCTCAATCTTGGGAACAGCATTTCTTTTCTTGCCAAGAGGACTTGTCTTGTTTACAGTTTTCTATACACTTGGAAATGTTATGGCAATTTCAAGGTGAGTTTTATCAGTCTTGTATACTAACCCCTAGGCTTCAGATTATGGTTCCCTCCCCCATTGTGGGTGTATTCCGGAACATTTAAAAACAAATAAAAAGCAATTCTAGTCTTGCAAATTGGCTGTCAAGGCCATATAGGAACTTTGATAGTGGACTGTTATACCAATTGATTCTGAGATGCTAAAGGAAATTTGCCCGTTTAAATATAAGTTTAATTACATTATTATCACACATACACACACAAGTAAATTTATCAATTAACCAGGAGAATATCACCATTCGCTGACACCGAACATCAGGTCAAACACATAACAGCTCTGCCAATGAGTTGTCAGAAGTGGTATATGGAGGCGAGAGGTTCACCAGAGTAGTGAAGCTCCCGCTCCCTGAGCAGCATATTCAAGGGATGGGGTTAGTAGACTGAAGTCGCCCCTGAACTGGGATACTGTAAACTCTGGTCTGCTGGCCTCCGCAAGTCCCCACGATTGGACAGGTCAGGTCATACGTGTAGCCCCCTGGATGACAAGGACTGACAAACACTGATCAGGATGCCTCTCACTCTCGGCCCTTGACGTGGGAAGAGTCCTCCAAAACAATGTAGTGATATCTCCTTTAGCCGGAACAATTGGTGCAGAACACTTCCGGGAATTAACAAGATGACTCTCAAAGCCATAAAAAAAAATCCCTTATTCCTGGAATTTTCCGGGTACTAGCGGAAAAATTTTCTCGGAAGTTCCAGAAATTTCCCATTACATCATCTCTTGAACCCGGAAAAATATCCCCTATCCCATGAATTTTCCGGGTACCGGAAATTTTTTCTCAGAATTTCCGGTAAATGCGACTGATTTTCATCTCTCAATCCCAGAAAAAAAACTCCCCCATCCCCAGAATTTTCTGGGTATCAGGAAATTTTCTTTGAATTTTCCAAGAAAATTTCAATTCCGGCTATCGGAGAGTTCCGGGTTTGAGGGATTCCGGCTACCGGAGATATTACTACAGTATTAACATAGCCATAATATTCCGACAAAATCACAAAGCAATAAACCTACAGTAGGTTCTCAAATTTCATGAGTTTTTAATTCGACATTTTTTATTTGGACACAAAAAAAAAAACACTACACAATGCCAACATTCAGACGTGCACAATCGTGTAAACAGCGTCATTTCTCTCATGTACAAAAGATTAATTATTGTTTATTACTGAATGTCTTTTTGATTGAATTAATGTTTGTGTGCAAAATGAACAATACAGTGGTCCCTCGGTTAGCGAACACAATTCGTTCCAGAAGGTCGTTCGTTAACCGAAACCATTGTTTCAATGGGATTTTGGGTAATTGGTTCCAGCTCACCGATTATTACATACAAACTAAAAATAAATGCAGTAAAGTAAACTTATTTGGAGGTGTGCATGTAGAAGGCTCCTGGTTGATGATGATGGGAATTAGAATGGAGGTGGAGAAGGGAGAAGAGAAGGCATTGGGGTGGAAGAGAAGTCACCCCATGCTTCATGCCGCCATTTCACCCATAAAATTTTAGTTCACTTGGTGTAATTCAAGATTATTTTCTTTAAATCAACACTGCACTGCATTATATATTGTCAATATGTAAAATAAACTTCAAAATGACCAATAATTTGACCGAAGTGAAGAATCTTATGGAAGGTAATTCGTCAACCGAAATTTCGTTAACCGAGGGATCACTGTATATGTATATATATACAGTAAAAGTCCAAAAATCCGGACTGCTTGGGGATTGGGTCGGTCCGGATTTTCGGATTTTCCGGATTCTCAGGCAGTACATTTAAAATTCAAATTTAAGGAGGAGTAAAGAAGAGATGAACAGGTACATTTTGATAGTTTATTCATAAGCAAGTAAAGCATGCTTCAATTATCAAAACGAGCAGTTTTAAGGAAAAATAAAGTCAACACTTGACAAAAATGTAAACAAACATTTTTCACAATGAAAAAAGGGGCGTGTAATCTTTGAAATCATGTTTAAAAATGAACATTGTAAAAGAAAAATACAGTAAACAAATGAAAGCAGAATTTATTTTATACAAATTGCTTATTTATTTGTAGTTTATTAACGAAACATTTTCCTATAAATACAAAGTACAAAACAACAAATAAATTTTTATTCGTTGATTTCCACGACTTCCATATCGTCTGCTGCACTGCTTGTGGATGGAACACTTGCAGCTTCTACTGCACTGCTTGACACTGCTTTCTTTAAATACTTTCGTATATCACCTTGTTTACGACTTTGTAATTTCTTTGTGATAAGATTATTCTGCACCATGTGTGCCTGCATGACGTCTTGAAGACTGAAGCTATGGTTCTGTTCCACAAATTTAATAACTGTTTCAATGCCCTTTTCTGCAGCAGCCCAAGATATCTTTTCTTCAACTTTGTCGTCGTCTTCACCAGATTCTTCTGAACAATTTTCTTCTATCTTATCAGGAGTTGTAATGCTTTGAATGATTTCTTGATCAGTGAAAGTGGCAGCAACTTCAATATCATCGTCAATGTGTATCCACTCTTCTATGTCAGCAGCATTAAGCTTGCGTAGAGGGTTGTCTTCCAGAGATAATTTAACAGTCTCCATCAGTTCTTGCACTTCAGATGCCCTCTGCTTTATGTGGAATCCTTCAAAATCTTTGTCTTGATCACACACTAGATCTGCAAACATCACTTTCGGCCACAACTTTCGCCACGCTCTTAAAAGTGTTTCACTCGTGACTGCATTCCAGGCAGTCACGAGTGAAAATATTGCATCCTTGATCGTAAAACTGCGTTGAAATTCTGTAGGGTTGACATTCTCATTCATCATTTTCGTCATAAAATCATTCTTATAGTGACATTTAAAGTTCCTAATGACTCCTTGATCCATGGGTTGAATCAATGATGTTACGTTTGGTGGCAAGTAACATGCATAAATATTCCCGCAATCAGAGACTAATTTTGATTCATGCGGGTGGGCCCTACAGTTGTCGAGAAGTAGCAGGCACTTTGTATTTGCAGGCTTCCCCAATTTCCTTAAGTTCTGACGAACTGATGAAACAAAATCATGAACAAACCAATCGTGAAATATGTCTTTGTCCATCCAAGCACTCTTTTGGGCTTTATAGGTCACAGGCAAGTGCACAATTCCTTTAAAGGCCCGTGGGCGCTTAAATTTGCCAATCGCCAAAACCTTAATTTTATGCTGACCTGAAGCATTAGCACATACAAGAACGGTTAATCTTTCCTTATTAAGCTTAAAACCTGTTGCATTTCGTTCTTGGTTTCCAGCCAAAGTTTTTGTGGGCAAACACTTCCAGTAAACCCCTGTTTCATCAGCATTACAAATTTGATCGGCTGTGAGATCATAGTCATTTACAATTTTTTCAAATGTTGCACTATATTTTGTTGCTGCTTGTGTATCAGCCGACTGTCTTTCTCCAGCAATATCTAACTGTCTAATACCATGACGAGTCTTGAAATTCCTAAGCCATCCATCACTAAATGTGCACTCTGATTCAATGTTCATTTGCTCCTTAAAAGACTTTGCTTTGACAATAAGCATCGGCCCAGAAATTGCCATACCTTCTGATCGTTTTAACAAAAACCATTCGTGCAACACTTTATCAAGATTTTCTAATTTGGGCCGATGTAAACTTTTTCTTTCAGCAATTTTATTGTAAGGCTCAGAAGAAGTTGTGAATTCTAGAATTTTATTCTTTGCCTTTTTTATATCATAAATTGTTGACTTTCCAATGTCGTATGTTTCCATGAGAACAGCATTGCTCACACCACGTTCTAGTTTCTTAAGTATTTCAAGTTTGTCACTCAATTTCAATGTGTTCTTCTTTCTCTTCACACAACGAAGCTTATCTACTTTAGGAGCCATTATTATGGGCTTGTAAATGGAAAGAGTAGGACTCAAAATTACATACGTTGTTACAGTTTGATTGCTTGTTCTAAAGTAGCGATCGAGTGGTCGCTTGTTGTCGCTGTGTAGCTGTGGCGTTCACGCATGCACACATACACACAAAAGATTTATAGTGCCTCAAATTTTACATTTCAGGACAAGCTAATTACAAAACTAACAAAATTAGCTACTTATAATTTACAATTACTTTTATTATTAGAATTATGTAAATTAATTTTTTTTAAAACGACTCCATTCATTCACGTAACCCACAAAAGCCCGCTAAATTTAAAAAGTTTGAAAGTTTTCGAAAAGTCCGGATTTTTGGCATCCAGATTTTTGGACTTTTACTGTATATGGCGGGAGGGGTGGGTCGGAAAAGCCGATAAGTCGGATAATCAAGGTACTGTACCCAAAATACGTTACTGCACATAAGATAATCACTTGAGTTCTGTAATAATCATACGTGAGAGTACAGGGTACAAATATATGTAAATACAGGTACAGTATACAGGCATCCCCCGCGTTACGGAAGCCCGGGATTACGGAATTTCGCTCTTCCGGAATTTGTAAATTATGACCAATAATTTCGCGTTACGGCCCGTAAATCCGCCCTTACGGAAATTGGGGTAAATTTTAACAAACACAAGGCCTCACACATGCCATTCAGACTGACAGACTTGACAAGTTTTACCGACCATAAAGACAGTTGAAGCTTTAAACATCACTCACAATGGATCTTGAATATTCCAACTGTAATCAGACATACCTAAGTTGCCTCAACAATTGCAACCCCAGTTGCAATATCAAATTCTGTGTCACCACTAAAAAATAATACAGTAGTCCCTGGTGCACTCTTAAGATTAAGAGAAAACGGACGACTCAGGCGGCCTTGAAGTGAGAGAAAACGGACTCCTATGACGGGGCACTCAAATAAACATACACATAGTTGTATAATGCAACATTATGCAATATTAACCCCTAAGTTGGTGTTTTAAGAAGGTATATCATAAATTATTTAATGTACTGTATTGTATGTGTTTATAAATGCTTATTTTCATTAGTAAAAGTGCTTGAATTATTTTTTTGGAGCCGAAAAAATTCCTTAGGAACGCATCTCCAGTTTTATAATGGAAGTCAATGGGAAAATAGGTTTCGCGTTACGGAATTTCGCGATACGGTCAATTTTCTGGGAACGGAACCCTTCCGTAACGCGGGGGATGCCTGTACTGTAATACAGAAATAACAATAGGTACAGTACAATCATCCTTATCTCACTCACCAGCATACTCTCTTTCTCTGTCGTAAACAAATGAACTTACTACAGTACAGTACTGTAGCTATTCTGGGGCTGAAGAAGACTCCACCTGGACTTGCGGTTGATGTTGCCATTTGGCAGGAGACGGGGAGACAGCGTAGGAGTGAGTGACGGAATGCCAGCTGTAGCTCTCTCCCTCCCTCCCTCAGTGCTTGCACATTCTGCATGAAGAGAGTGTGAGAGTGTAACGCACTGTAACAGAGTAAAAAAAAAATTTGTTAGTCCACCTGAAAATACGACTTCAAAAACAACAATCACGCAACTCACAGCTTGGCCCAGCAGGGGGAGGATATCACCAACACCACACCTCCCTCATTGCTCTACTGCCTGCCTCTACCACAATTTGCACACTTACTCCCTAACACATGAATTTACTGCCTAACACATGAATTTACTGCCTGACACATGAATTTACTGCCTGACACATGAATTTACCCCCTGACACATGAATTTACTGCCTAACACATGAATTTACTGCCTAACACATGAATTTACTGCCTAACACATGAATTTACCCCCTGACACATGAATTTACTGCCTAACACATGAATTTACTGCCTAACACATGAATTTACTGCCTAACACATGAATTTACTGCCTGACACATGAATTTACTGCCTAACACATGAATTTACTGCCTGACACATGAATTTACTGCCTAACACATGAATTTACTGCCTAACACATGAATTTACTGCCTGACACATGAATTTACTGCCTAACACATGAATTTACTGCCTGACACATGAATTTACTGCCTAACACATGAATTTACCCCCGACACATGAATTTACCCCCGACACATGAATTTACTGCCTGACACATGAATTTACTGCCTGACACATGAATTTACTGCCTGACACATGAATTTACTGCCTAACACATGAATTTACTGCCTGACACATGAATTTACTGCCTGACACATGAATTTACTGCCTGACACATGAATTTTCCCCCTGACACATGAATTTTCCCCCTGACACATGAATTTACTGCCTGACACATGAATTTACTGCCTGACACATGAATTTACCCCCTGACACATGAATTTACCCCCTGACACATGAATTTACTCCCTAACACATGAATTTACTGCCTAACACATGAATTTACTGCCTGACACATGAATTTACTGCCTAACACATAAATTCTAACACATGAATTTACTCCCTGACACATGAATTTACTGCCAACACATGAATTTACTGCCTGACACATGAATTTACTGCCTAACACCTTACTACTGCCTGACACATGAATTTACTGCCTAACACATGAATTTACTGCCTGACACATGAATTTACCCCCTGACACATGAATTTACTGCCTAACACATGAATTTACTCCCTAACACATGAATTTACTGCCTAACACATGAATTTACTGCCTGACACATGAATTTACTGCCTAACACATGAATTTACTGCCTGACACATGAATTTACTGCCTAACACATGAATTTACTGCCTGACACATGAATTTACCCCCTGACACATGAATTTACTGCCTAACACATGAATTTACTCCCTAACTCATGAATTTACCCCCTGACACATGAATTTACCCCCTGACACATGAATTTACTGCCTAACACATGAATTTACTGCCTGATACATGAATTTACCCCTGACACATGAATCTACTGCCTAACACATGAATTTACCCCATGAATCTCTACTCCCCTAATACATGAATTTACTGCCTAACACATGAATTTACTGCCTGACACATGAATTTACTGCCTAACACATGAATTTACCCCCGACACATGAATTTACCCCCGACACATGAATTTACTGCCTGACACATGAATTTACTGCCTGACACATGAATTTACTGCCTGACACATGAATTTACTGCCTAACACATGAATTTACTGCCTGACACATGAATTTACTGCCTGACACATGAATTTACTCCCTGACACATGAATTTACTGCCTAACACATGAAAAAATATAAGAAAATATTGTTTAACTTTGGTACATTACCTTATGGGAGGGCAGTCTGGGCTCACGTCCACAAGGGACCTGTACAATATTGTATGATGTACGGTATTTTTTTTTTCTTTGTGAAGGTCTTCATAAGCCTTTTTGAAATTTAATTAATGATCCAGACATTTTAGAAAGGAAATGCTACAAATAGTTTGGATTACTCCCTCTCACAAATTTCAGGTCTCTTGTACAGTATTTAGACCAATGGCTGGGTGAGCACATTAACCCCAAGCTGCCTAGTTCCTGACTTGATCTTAACATGAGATTTCAGAGGCCCTCCTCTTTTTATTTTTTTTATGGACTATAATTAAGTTTCTATTTGATTTTTTTTCCAGCACGTGCTTCCTGATGGGTCCTATAAACCAGTGTAAGAAGATGTTTGCCAAGACTCGTATAATTGCTACGATTATCATGATTTTAGCCTTGATTATGACTCTTATAGCAGCCCTAGTGGTAAGTAGAAATTAAATATGGCATGGTGAAGATAGCTTAGGTTTTAAAGGCATATATTATGAAAGCAACCTATTAGGTCCTTATACAGGACAGAAACACTATAAAGTATACACTGTGAAAGTATTAAGAAAACTTTAAAAAACAGCTGAATGCAGCAGTCCCCTCAATGCTCCCCATAGAAAAGCAAAAAATTTTGACATTTTAATGCCCTCCCTCCCTTCCTCCCTCTTTTTTTTCATGATATCATGCACCTACGAAAGAGATCATACATGTAGGAGCTGGGCCTATCAGAGTACCCGGTAGGTTCATATCTGCTTCATGCATCTGGAATCCGCTCTTTTCAGTTACCACAAGGAACATATTTGTAGAACATGTACAGTATGTCTCTTTTTTTCTCTCCCCCCCCCCTTCCTTCTTTTTTTCTTTATTAGGTTGATTTATTTTTTAATTTTATTTATACTTCTACTGCATTATAATAAATTTGTTGATGGTGTAGAAAAACATAATACAGTACTGTACTGTATACTGTGGTGTTGTGCATCAAAATTTTTAAATAGAAGCAGAACCTGACATACGAGGATTTGATTTACAAAAATTCAGTTACAAAAAATATTGTTTAATGCTTTAATTTATAGGCAAAATCCCTGAAGTTAAGACATTTTCTGTTATACGGTACAATATCTGAAATTTTTTTCACATTAATGGAAGATCTCCAAGCTTATGTTTTACAATTTTTTTTACAGTAAGTCCTCACTTAACGTCGTGGTTCCGTTCCTGAAAACCGCAACGTAAAACAACTTTAACGGAATAAATTTTCCCCATAAAAAATAGATAAAATACAGGAGTTACATTCCCCAGCCTCCCTTTGCCCCATAAAATACATTACATATACATAAATTTAATGGAATTTTGATAGAAAACGGTATATATTATACATCCAAAACGATTAATAAACTAAATAATTTTGTATTGTACTCACTGAGGGGCTGATAGTATTCACTATTGTGGGGTTAGACCTAGCGCAACACCAATATCCACAGCACTTTCACCTTTCTCATAACAATTTAAAACTTCCATTTTCATAGCAAGATTAATGGTCTTACATTGCTTCTTCACAACACTGGCATCACTAGCACTTGATGGGCGCTTGGAAGCCATTTTCAATGATTGCAGTACAGTATTTAGAGCAAAAACACTTAAACACGCACGAACGCTGTGGAAGCCTAACAAAGACTGGGGACGCTGTTTCGCTTCCCGAGAGAACGTAGCGCGCCAAGATGAGAGAGGGTGATGCGCCGTATAAAGTAGTCCATGATGACGTTATACCGAATCGGCGGGACGTTGTCCGAATCATGGGTATCTAAAGAGTAGAGAGATTACAGTGGTCCCTCGGTTAACGAGCACAATCCGTTCCAGCAGGTTGCTCGTTAACCGAAACCATTGTTTCAATGGGTTTTGGGGTAATTGGTTCCAGCTCACCAAAAATTGCCTAAATTCAACAAAAAAGATAGAAAAGTACACTTACTTTGAGGTGTGCATGTAGAAGGCTCCTGGATGATGATGATGATGATGGGAATTAGAATGGGGGTGGAGGAGAAGGGAGAAGAGAAGGCTTTGGGGTGGAAGAGAAGTCACCCCATGGCGCCATTTCACCCATAAAATTTTAGTTCTCTTGGTGTAATTCAAGATTTTTTCTTTAAATCAACACTGCACTGCATTATATATTGTCAATATGTAAAATAAATTTCAAAATGACCAATAATTTGCTTGCAAACACAGAAAAAAAAGCATTTAGCTCAAGCAAGAAGTTGCCTCCACTGAAAAGACAGAGAGACTGGCGCCTGTTTGGTGTGTTGCCAGGCTGGATGGTGCGCATAAAACTAGTTACCTTACCTTCAATTATGTTCAATAATTGTTAAAATTACTAAAAAATTTAATATTAAACTTTTAAAATTATTGAATAGTATAAACTTCTTGATATTTACTAAGATAGTAAGGAATTTAAGCCCTAAAACTGATTACTGTATTGGCGGACTAATGCTACAGCTGTTTGACCGCCAAGTGCAAGTGAAAACATGTTGAGGTCGGCTCGTAAAATACTCGTTAATCGAGGGATTGCTCGTTAACCGAAGTTAAGAATCTTATGGAAGGTAAATCGTTAACCGAAATCTCGTTAACCGAGGGATCACTGTATAACGAAACAACGTTGTCGTAGGCTACGTTAAACGAGGACTTACTGTACCTTCATATCCAAAATGCCTGGTAAATAATATATTTACCAGCCAGGTGATTTGTTGTTCCAGTGGTATATAGTATAGATATCCCTCACTTAATGAATGGGTTAGGTTCCTAGAAAACCATTCGTAAAGTGAATTTTCGTATCTCGAATAGCAGAACATGGGAAAATATGGTTCACTTCCCCAATGGAAAGAATCTCAATATCATATCCCAAAAACATGAAATTGGTTTGTGAACAATAAAAACCTACCTAACTATTGATAAATAGTGCACATCTACTGTAATTTACTACCTAATAAATTAATAACATTTAATAAAATACCATCTAGATGAAAATATGCAGCAAAACCATTAAGGAAAAGACAAATGAAAGTTTAACACAACCACCATTTGCGTAGACACTGGCTGTGTGCCCTGAAGCCTTGCCATAGCAATACAGCCCGGCTGGGACGCTGCCTCTGCTGACCCTTAGCAACAGGGCTCTCACACTCTACTTTCCCTCTTGATCTCACTCACAAAGAACTGTTTATTACCTTTGTTTTTTACCTTATAATAGTTATTTCTTTTACTTTTTTTGCACATTACGTATGTATATAGGATTGTGTGTGCATGTAACTGAGTAAAAAAAAAAAAAGAAGAAAGTTAGGTTTACCCGAAATTACAAGTTGAAAAATAACCAAAACATAACTTCCCCCACTTAAAATATTCGGAAAAATATGTGGTGAATGATGCTGGCTGTAAATGCATCCCCCCTATATACATTAATTGTTATGGGGAAAATTGACACGATATTTGCAATTTCATTTTCCGCAATGACATTTGGAAATGCATCCCTTGAGATAACTAGGGTATTTCTGTATACTAAACACTTCCTAACACATTAGAGTGCCGGCTGGTGTATAAATTTTTATTTATGATCAATTTACGATATTTACAATTATTTTCTGTTTCTGCTCTGTCAACAATGTTTGAAATACGGCAATATGTAAATCCTTTTATGTGGAGTTCAAGTTTGGTGTGTTGATGTACACCTTTTCACATATCCGTTGAGACATTGTTACATAACAATTTGACAAATTTCATAACCGAATGACAGACAGAACACATATCGAATGACTATCTAAAATAACTGTTGGTGGTATGTCATTATCCAATTGTTACATTCTCAAACTATATGTAGACTGTCGGTTTATTGTTCACGTCTGTCAACTTCATAACTTATGTCAATCATTTCCGTTAGCATGAACCAACAGTTATTTTAGATTGTCATTCGATATGTGTTCTGTCATTCGGTTATGAAATTTGTCAAATAGTTATGGAACAATGACTCAACGGATATGTGAAAAGGTGTATTATGAATATGGTAGTCTACATACTGTGTAACATTTAGGGTTAAACCTTATGAAAAACCTGCATTATGATCTCAGTAGAATTATATAGATTTTTCAGTGGATACAATCTACTTGTTACAGATTCACAAGAAAGCTCTCGCCATTTTGATGGTGGTCATCCAGTTCTGTGCCATGACGTGGTATTCTCTGTCATACATACCTTACGCTCGAGATGCTGCCAAGAAGTGCTTTGGATCATGCCTTGATGTCTGAGGGATTTGTTTTGAAGGTGCTGAAGTTTGATATTTATCCTATGATATTGTTATATCTCATATGTGATTGTGGAACTCAGTCATGGGAGTTTATTCTTGTAAAGAGACTTTTTTCTACTACTAATCTGTAAAATTCTGAATAAAATTTTGCACTTCAACTAGGTAAAAAGATAATGAATATATTTTTGTAATATAATACAGTACAGTATTTAAATTCAATTAAGTAAAAATAAAACATTAATTACTGTAAATTCTTAAAGTACCGTAATTTGACATGAATTATATTAATACAGTAGTAATTGCTGGAGTTTAAAACTACAATCATCTATGAAGATTTGAAGTATCAACACAACTGTTAACTTGTTATTTTGAGAAACTTTTGTCATTTTTCTTTATTTTTCTCTCCACATATTTTTTTCTAACTATTTAATAAGTTATCTTGGGACCATAATTAATGATATCTAATTTAACCAAATATACATAAATGTTTTGAGTTGATCCTTTACACTTTTTTGTCTATATATATAAATGTTTAGCTGCTCATGTGGTGTGGACAGGTTGAAGGAATGTGAGGAATGAGATAAAATGATGGGGAGGATGAACACCCAGGAATCAACAGTGTGCAGAAAGGAAGAGAGAGAGGAAGATAGTAGAGTGATGCTTGGAGAATGTTCATATACTGACTTCTCTGGAAGGACGGATAAATCTAATTTGGATTATGTATAACATTTTGGAAGCATATGAGGTGGCTAGGAAGCTAAGCATAACCTTTGATGGAGTTGTGGCGTACAGTACATATCTTCCTCCATGATGAATTGAAGAATCTAAAATTAACAGAATTAGAGGTAAGGTGGGAGGTAGAGAATGTGGGAAATGGAAGAATAGTGTCTGAGAAAGAGAGTTGGGTGAAGTTATAGGTAATCCTCCAAAGGGATTACCCAGCTAGATGAAGTACAGTATGTAATAAACACCTGAGTTATGGTCAGGTATATATTTGTTATCATCCATTATTAGTTATTTACTTCGGTATGTAAAAATACATAATAGATATTATAAAAAAATTAATGTGTTGGCTAGTCAGGGAGAATTTTTGTCCACCATTGGTATCTCGTTTATTTGCTGTTCTGTTACCCATTTAAATATTTTCATCCATTTTTTATATTGTTGCATTGATAGTCTAATTTTAACTTTTCATATGTTAACTAGATTGTGAGCTTGTGTAATGGAAGGCAGTAATTGGCTACTGTGCTCCTCTTTGGGAGTCAAACCCACATTAAAAGGAAAAAGATTTTGTTATCATTAATATTGTAGCAAAGTTCAGTACCTTCAGGAAACAAGCAGGAAAATACACTGGAAAACTATGAAGAATTAGAAAATATAATTGAAAAAAGGTAAACCATTTAAATACTACAAACTACTATTTTGGTTGTGGCTCCCAGCAACTCCTGCTTCTAGAACACTACTCACCATGCTCATAGATGATTATTCTGCCTCTTACAACACTCCCAAAAGGCAAAGGTAATGCACACACATATAAAAAACAACTTAAATACACAGGAAATTTTCTGAGGTGTACAGTGACATACAACCTCGCTGGGCAGCACTGAGCTGTGTGGACCTAGGGAGAGAGAACTCATCTCCATATACAGTACTATACTGTAATTTTGTCATAGTTATAAGAGCATTTCACTTGAATTGACAAAACATGAACTCCTCTGCAACAGACTTGGTTTTATTTAATTAAATTTATTTATTGTATACTGTACAGTATTTGAATCTTTAACTCAGACTCAAAGGATGCCAAATTCTGATTGAATGATATTGAAATCCACGTGATTCAACTTGGCAAATGCTTTAATGATTTGGCATTTGTATATCTGTATACAAATTCTCAGATGTTGAGGTTTTGCTGTTTTTACTGTATTTTATTATATGTTTGTGCATCATCCATGTGTCCTTGGCATATACAGTAGAATCCCAATTATCCAGTATCCAGGCAACTGGTAGATTAACTAACTGGCACCAAAATGAAGTACAGTGGTCCCTCGGTTAACGAGCACAATTCGTTCTAGAAGGTTGCTCGTTAACCGAGACCATTATTTCAATGGGTTTTTGGGTAATTGGTTCCAGTTCACCGAAAATTGCCTAAAGTCAACAAAAAAGGTAGTAAAGTACACTTACTTTGAGGTGTGTATGTAGAAGGCTCCTGGATGATGATGATGATGATGATGATGGTAATTAGAATGGGGGTGGAGGAGAAGGGAGAAGAGAAGTCACCCCATGGTGCCATTTCACCCATAAAATTTTTGTTCACTTGGTGTAATTCAAGATTATTTTCTTTAAATCAACACTGCACTGCATTATATATTGTCAATATGTAAAATATATTTTAAAATGACCAATAATTTGACTGGAAACACAGAAAAAAGCATTTATGTTGAAGAGAGTCTGAAGCAAGATGTTACCTCCACTGAAAAGACAGAGAGACTGGCGCCTGTGTGGTGTGTTGATAGGCTGTTTGGCGTGCTAAAAACTAGTTTCCCTGTACTTAAATTATGTTAAATATTTGTTAAAATGACTAAAAATTTTAATATAAAACTTGATATTTACTAAAATAGTAAGGAATTTAAGCCCTAGAACCGATTACTGTATTGGCAGACTAATATGACAGCTAGTGTGCAAGCGAAAACATGTTGAGGGGCGCTCGTAAGGAATTCGTTAATCAAGGGAATGCTTATTAACCGAAGTTAAGAATGCTATGGAAGGTAATTCGTTAACCGAAATTTCGGTAACCGAGGCGCTCGTTAACCGAGGGATCAATGTAATAATATGAAGATTAAAATTTCTCCAGAATTAGTTAGTACCGTACGTTTGAATACTGCATGCAATGGGGATGGGCTGCCATATTTATTGCTATGATAAAGAATAAAATCGATACATAGCATTACATAAAATACAATAGCACATATTTTATGTGCAAAAAATAGCTCCTTCCACACTCAAACCATCCTCTGAGCAATGCGACCCACTTCAACCAAGCAGTCAACCAGCTGACTCACAGACATATGACTACTGCTCTGCACTGTGTATGCCATGATGACACATCAGGGAGGAACGAGGCCACACAATCATTCCCCACAGCCTCCATACACATCCATATTCTTATTTTTTCTCATTTTATAGTTTTATATTATTTTTTTTTTTTTCTAAGCCACATGGTTTATATAGAGTGGAATAAGTGTTAAAGAAGTCTCTTTTTAGTCCCTTTTTCTGAGACAAATTTGTGAGGTCAGCGTGTAGGTCTGTGCATTGTAAGATTTATTGGGGGATCTTAAGAGTGATTCTTAACTAACAGGAAAATCTGTTTATTTGGCACCTCTCAATCCCCAAAGGTGCCGGATAACTAGGATTCTACTCTGTGTGTGTGTGATAGAGAGGGAGAGAGAGTTAACGGTTTATTGAAAAAGTTCTGCAGCCCCAAGGCTGAAAATATACATTAGACAAAAATGACTTATTACATACAAAGACAGGGGGTAGGTGGGTCATTTAACAAAAGCTTTCATTACTGAAAGGAGAAGGAACATGAATTGAAGATACAAATTATTATAGTTTGCAGTTGATGGCCTGGGCTGGTCTCTTGCCAAACTGTGTGAGGTCACGTAGGTCGCGCGGTTCAGTAACTCGTCCGTAGATGTTGGTATGAAGGGCCTCACATGGTCATGGAGACACCGGGTGGTGTGGTGTTCAAATATCATGCCCGTGAATAATGAGCAGGTATACAATAGTTGTATCCGTGAATAATGAGCAGGTATACAATAGTTGTATCCGTGAATAATGAGCAGGTATACAATAGTTGTATCCGTGAATAATGAGCAGGTATACAATAGTTGTATCTGTGAATAATCAAATCTGTGAAAGTTTAACCCATGAATGTTGAGGGTTTACAATACACAAAATTTTCTTCATTTTTATACTCCTTTACATGCACACACAATCCTACATACAGAAAGTTAAAAAAGAAATGATTATCGTAAGGTATAAAGCTCTACGTATCTATGGGCTTCCACCGTTAAACCATGTAGTGAGTGAGTGGAGGTCAGAGAGTTTGCGGCGGAGCTCCGTTGCTAAGGCGAGTATCGGGCAGGTAACACTTCTGAATCACCTGATATGGATTCCCCAGTGAATTTCACATTGTGCAGGCTCTATCTTTTCTAAAAGTTTCAAACCAGCCCTTACTGTCAAGGTTTAAGTTATGCATCTGTAATGCTTCCCTCACCCACACTTTCAACAAGGTGACTGTACATCCGCCTGGCCTTCACACGTATCACCTGAGAAATTAAAGGCACACTTCTGGGCCTGGTCTTCCATCCATATGTTCAGTGCCTTTTCCATTTTTCTAGATTATGGTCCTGTGCCATCAGCAACACGATCCCTTATTGTAGCTTTACTCTTCTTAATGGTACGAATTGAGGATTTATTTACCCCTATGGTGCGTCCCACTAACGCTATGCTTTTGCCATGCGCTAGTCTATTGAGCACTTAAACTTTCTTTTCTAATGTTATTACGTTCCCTGCCCTTTTCACTTTCTTCTCACGCCTAGGGGCCATAGTTAAGGGCAAAATCAATGTTATTCCAGTATAAAATACGTAATATAATATATAGAGCATTGAGAGCAGAGACGGGACACTGTGCAGATGAATACATTGGAACACGGAGGGAAAAAAACGCAGTGCTAACCCGTGGATACTCTGAATCCACGAATGGGAAATCCATGGTTGGCGAGGGACTGCATATTTATGTGTGAGTGTGTGTGTTAACCCCTTTTGTATGGGGTCCCCACAGAGTTGAATAAAATTGTCTAGCATTAGCCAGATGAATTATTAAAAGTGGTGTCCCCATAGTGAAGGGGTTAATTCCAACTGAATTGTGTTGATGGTATTGCTGTAACTCTCACCAATATGTCAAGAGTTCAAGCCTTGGCCTGGGCACACTTGTGAAGGTTGTTAACCAGTGTGACACTACCAAACATTACAGGCTTCCTGGTCCCCAGTTTCCTCCTGTACTAACACTGGGTAGACCAACTGCCCAAATGACTGTTAACCTGATAAGTGGCAAAAATTATATTAAAAAAATATAAGTAATATCTCCGTTAGCCAGAACAATAATTGGTGCAGAGCACATCTGGGAATGAGAGATTTCCGGGTAATGAGACGACGACTCTCAAAGCCGGAAAAAACTCTCATCCCTGGAATTTTCCGGGTAATGGAAAAAATTTCTTGAAAATTCAAGAAATTGTCCAGTGCATCATCTCTGGAACCCAGAAAAATTTCTCCCATCCCCCGAATTTTCTTGGTACCGTAAAATTTTTCTTTGAATTTCCAGAAAATGCGCCCGATTTTCATCTCTGAAACCTGGAGAAAAACTCCCCCATCCCCGGAATTTTTTGGGTATGGGGAAATTTTTTTTCAGAATTTTCCGGAAAATGTGCCCCTGGAAAATTTCAATTCCGGCTATCAGAGTTCCGGGATTGGGGGATTCCGGCTGACGGATATATTACTGTACCTGTACTGTATACTATTTTGTCCCACCGTTATCTTTCTATGCATTTAAAAAAAAAGAGATATATAGTACTGGAAATCTCTCTGTTAAAATGCATAGATATTTAAGTTTCTGAACCATTGTAATGATTTGTATTGAATTTTCTACTTAATGAATATTTAAATATATTTTTCATACTTATAAATGCTGAATGAATGCTTGCACTGAAAACATTGTGGGAATTAAAATATATGATAAGTTATACTGAATAAAAGTATTTGTATTCCATCTAGTTATATAGGTCTTCCTTAACATATTTGTGCCTTAAAAAACTAATGATATTATATGGGTCAAATTTGGCATTGAACATTTAGAAATTTAGTTATGCCATTGTTTTAAGTAAAACCAAATTTTACTTGCCAATTAAAAATAAATTTGTTGTGTGTGTGGGTGGGTATTTGTAAACTTTATCTTGTCTGGAATCTTACCAAAACTCCTTTACTAATACAGATATGGTGATGAAGCTTGCAGGAATATGTATCATCAATGGACAAAATACAGAACACCAAATTTGCATCATTGTATTAAAGGTGAAGCCTCAAGGAAAACCTTGTTTAGAGTTTAATCTTTATATCTGTACAGATGTGTTGATGAAACTTCCAATGCCATCAATGGATAAAGTGGAGAACATAAAAAAAATTAAATGTTTATTAAAATAAAAAATTACAAGTGAGGGTGAGAGGCCAAATATAAGGATGTGTAAATTTATGTACTGTACTGTACCTTACCTTACCTTACCTTACCTTACCTGTACTGTACTGTACTGTACTGTACTGTACTGTACTTCTAATGATAACAGTCAATGAGACTAATGTAAACAGGGAGGAGTTGTGTAATAGTGGGACACATTATTATTTACATTCAAGGCTGCTAAGGTATTGTTGGTAATACAGTACTGTATATGTTTTGTTTAGGATTTATATGAGCTAAGGAAAGTATAGTACAAACTGAGTTTGTCAAAATACAGTATGTATTAATATTTATTTTGAGTCTTAGTGCATCTGGAGTTCAAAATTTTGAATAACTTCTTATCACTGTAATTTATGTGTTGGATGAATCCTCATATTAATCCTCAGTATTCTCACAATTTCAACTACAGTATAGTCTCGATTTACGCGGATTTGGTTTACTCGTTTGTTCATTTAAGCGGCACTTTGCCAGACCGACAATTTTTATTTACACGGTTCATTCCATCATTTACCGAGTTCTTCACCCGCCACCCACCACAGCCGGCCCAAGTCAGTGATAATGATAGTGAGGAGATGGACTTTGAGGGGTTTGACAAAGAGGCCCTGCAAGCCTCTGTGGTGGATAGTGATACAATTGATACAGGTGAGGGCCAATATTCTGCCCTCTGCCTCGGAACCAACCCCCCATCCCCGTGTGCCCCGCCATCTTTTCTACTAATGTAAGTGTTAAAAAACCTAATATTATTGATATTTCTCTTAAATGTTAATTGTGTGCATACCATCATAAAATTAAAATGTTATTTTTACTACAACGTACGTATTGTGTCGGAAAAAGTGTCGTTTGGGGGTCGGCCCAGTCTCTATTTCAATTAATCCCATATGTTCTGTTATTTCGTTTATGCGTTTCTCGTTTTACGCGGACCTCCACGGGTTACTCGTTTCTCGTTTTACGCGGACCTCCACGGGTTACTCGTTTCTCGTTTTACGCGGACCTCCACGGGTTCAATTGACCGCGCAAATGAAGACTATACTGTACTGCAGTTTTTTTTCTTTTTTTTCGGGGATTATCCCACCTTGACACAGGTCACTGACCCACATTGCGGCCTGGGGGCTAAAATTTAATAATAATTATTATAATCCATAGTAAATAAAATTTATAATAAAAAATACAATATTATAAATAGAATAATAAATTATTAAAAATAAAAATAATAAAGAACCATAAAGAAATAAAAAAAGAAATAAATAAAAGTGAGAAACAATATATACTGTATATGTTGTGTTGTTAATAGTAAGAGAAACAATTGAGACCCTGCAATTGTGTGTATATGAGGCAGAAAGTCAGTCCAGCAAACTGGGACTTAGTCACAATTTTCATGATGTCATATGGCAGCAGGGTCTACCATTAGACAACACATTATGGTTCCAATATCTTCCCAGGCGGTAGTACCTCCCTGTTTGGTAGCTGCCTACTTCCTACTACCTGTATACTCGAAGAAGAAAAAATTTGTGAATACTGGTAATTAATAAATCCTCTTAAATAATTTGTTTTAATATTTATCCTAAAAGGGTATAGTTGCTTTCAATTTAATTGTCAAAATATCTCTTCCATCTGTGTAACTCAAATATTTATTTTACCTGTAAAATGAACTACAGTAAACCGTTGCGATTCGCTGATTTGCTGTTCGCAATTTCAACGATTCTCGGTAAGCAGATGGTGGCTGTTTGCGAGCCTCCCGCAGTACAATGAGTCACCCCACGTGCCCGCAGCGCCTCCTCTCCCTATGTTTGCGCTCGACCATTTCCTGTACCGCAGCGTCTCGTGTATTGCACTCTCAAAACTTTAATGTTTCTGTGTGAAATGGATCCTATAAGACTGCCTAGCGTCAGTGCTAGTGATGCCAGTGGAGTGAAATGTTAAAGACCCTGACAAAGAAAGTTAAATTATTAGACAAGTTAAAGGAGAGGATGAGTGCTGCAGCGACTGGTCGGTTGTTTGGTCCGAGAAATCAACCAAGCATTTGTTCCCTACCAGGAAATATTTCAAGACCTCAAAGCCAAGAGGAAACAACTACTAATTACTATGTTTTTCAAGAAAGAACTAGGTGCTCGCCCAGCTGATTTGTCTCCCTCCCTCACTAAGTCAGCTGCTGCCGCCGCTCCACCACCCTCCTCCCAGCCACCTGCCACCTCCCAGTCATGTGCCTCTCCACCAACCACCACTGCATCACCCTCTTCCAACAGTGATCCTGATGATCCCTCTATGCTTCAGTCATCAGAATTTTCCCTACTGTACAGTACACCACTTATCAAGCTTCAAACTTCTACATATAAAGGTAAGTAGTATCGGTGAGCAAGTTTCTCATACACAGTATATAGGTACAGTATATATAGTCGTGCACTAAGGTAGTATAAGTTGTTATTCGTAATTTTGCCAATTCGTGCCATTCCTTGGAACTTAACCCTCATGAATAACAAGGGTTTACTGTACTGTAAACAGGTACTCCTTGACTTATGACCACCCGGACATACGACCGCCGCAGTCGTATAAAATATTTTTCAAATTACGTATTTTCGAGTCCAAACGTTAGTGATCGCGCTGTGTACTGACAAAATTTTCATTTGTAATTCCCTTTAGCCCCTATGACCCAGGTGACGTTCCAGAACGGTTCACCGGTTTGCCCCGGGTGACGCTCCAGAACGTGCGCCTTTTCCCACCGTTGTTTGAATGCCCAACCAGGGTTAACATATACCAGCATGACTATTTTTCTCTCCCGGAACATGGAGGAGAGTGTGAGTAGGCCCAGTGCGGTCAGTAACCATTCACCTGTGGTCATGGAGAGTAGCCCCTCAACTTTTCAATCACGTCTCTTTTTCTTCTCAGCACCACAAAACTCTCACTTTTAAGCTTGCCAGCCATTTTAAAGTGAATTACAAACAAAAATTTTGTCTGTGTACTGACGTTGGGACTCGAAAATACGTAATTTGACAAAATTTTGGTACGACTGAGGCAGGTCGTAAGTGCGGGTGGTCGTAAGTCGAGTAGGTCATAAGTCGGGGAGGAGCTGTACATGTAGTAATATTGGTACAGTATTAAATAATAATGTAGTATTGTTGTTATTACTGTATTATCATTAGTGTATTATTATTTAATACCATTATTACTATTAATACCGTATTATTATTATTAATACAAGGCCCCCCCCAAGTTCGCGGTACTCTATTATTCGCGGATGATACCCTGGATGTACCTAAGAATGTCTGTGGGTAGTTTTAAAGTTGTCGGCATTTTCGCTGCTGGTACATGGAGCCATTCGTTCTATAGACAGAAATTTCCTTTACCTGTATATGTGTGTATGTGTACACACACACACACATATACACACACATATACAATACAGTGGTCCCTCGGTTAACGAACACAATTTGTTCCAGAAGGTCGTTCGTTAACCTATAATTTCATTAACCGAAACCATTGTTTCAATGGAATTTTGGGTAATTGGTTCCTGCTCACCGAAAATTACATACAAACTAAAAATGAATGCGATAATGTACACTTACTTTGAGGTGTGTATGTAGAAGGCTCCTGGTTGATGATGGTGGGAATTAGAAGTGGGGGTGGAGGAGAAGGGAGAAGAGAAGGAATTGGGGGTGGAAGAGAACTCACCCCATGCTTCATGCCGTCATTTCACCCATAAAATTTTAAGTTCACTAGGTGTAATTCAAGATTATTTTCTTTAAATCAACACTGCACTGCACTATATATTGTCAATATGTAAAATAAATTTCAGAATGACCAATAATTGTACTTTAAAAACATAAAAATAGTTTATGTTCAAGAGAGCCACAAGCAAGATGTTACCTCCACTGACCAGAGATACAATCTGACGCCTTGGTGGGTGAGTCAAGTGGCTGATTGGCGCACCAAAAACTAGTTTCCTGTACTGCAATTATGTTAAATAAGTGTTAAAATGACTAAAAAATTTAATATAAAACTTGGAAAATTATTGAATCGTACAACCTTCTTGATATTTACTCAAATGGGAACGAATTTAAGCCCTAGAACCGATTACTGTATTGGCAGACTAATATTCCAGCTGGTGAGCAAGCAAAAACATGTCGAGAGGAATTCATAAGGAATTCGTTAACCGAATTGAATATTCTTATGGAAGGTAATTCATTAACCGAAATTTCGTTAACCAAGGCGTTCGTTCACCGAGGGACCACTGTACAGGTAAAAGAAATAATTGTCCTAGGGGCAAACACATAAATGGAATATACATTTCTTTGTACCTTCCCCTGTCCGCAAATGTTATTCGCGGCCATTTTGAGAACCTAACCCCCATGAATTTGGGGGGCCCCCTGTACAATTTTATGATTATCATTAATGCGCTTTTATCACCCGGTTTATCCAGACATTTGCCACCTTCAGACACCCTCTTCCCCCTTAATTGTCAGGAAGTGCGACAGTTTACTGTATTAATACAGTACAGTAGTTTATTTTATTTTAGTTCATTGCATACATAATAATGTACTGTACTGTAGATATTTGTGTCTTAAAGTGGACTACCTTATACTAAGTATTGCATATACAGTACTGTATTACATTCAGTAGGTAGGTACTGCACTAACTAAAAATCTGTTTTATGAAAAATTCATGTTATGTAATGCTTCCAGGAAAATATCTCTTATGTAAGTAGGGATGACTGGAGAAATGACAAGTCAAGATTGAGATGGATGTGACAAGTATTGAGTGAAGAAAAAAATTCAGTGAGAAAAGCTGTAAGAACACTAATGAGAAGAAGTATGGGACTAATACTGTAACTGTCAAGAAAGAAAACCCAATTGGTTTACTCCCACAATAAATTGGGCCTTAAAAAGGCACTGATGAGAATTTTACTTTAATCCTGATCAAGAGGTAAATTGTGACAGAATAATTTCAGAATGAATGGAACCTGTCTCAAGGTGTAAGAAGTACAGAGAGAAGAATCCCATTTCACTGACAAGAGTCCTTATACAGTACAGTTGCCTCTTGAGTATAGTTTTTGCTTTGTTCTGGGGACTCTGCAATATGTTTACATGTTAAAGGTACTTGTTCATTCTGGCACTCATGCCAGAGTCACTTTTTTGCCCTTTCAGTCCCTTCACTCACCCAATTTCAACCAGAAAGCAATACTCTAATATGACTTAGAAATAAAGAAATTGTAATATAAAACTATAAGATTAGAAAAATAATGTGCAGGGTGGAATGACTTGACAAAAGTTCCCCCTACATTATTTTGGTTTAATTGGTGTTGGGTTAATAAAACATCATTGTAAATAAAAAAATCTCGCAAGTTATTGTGTCGTATTAAGTTTCTGGTGATATGTTTACATAGACGAATAGCTGACCAGCCAGAGAGGAGCTGTTTATGTAATACAGTATAGGGTAGAACTATTTTTGTACAATACTATCTATGTGATACTGTATTTTTTTATGTACAGTATTATAAAAAAAACTTTAGTGTTTATTGCAGTCTTGTTACCAAACTATATTTTATATAACAATATACAGTAATGTACATATTACACAATAATATTGAACTTATAATTTAAAGAAGGTTTAGACACAAGAACTTACAGGTAGAAGGTACAAAACACATTTTATTAGTATGGGAAGCGAGAAACTCAGGAAGCAGGTGCACGATTGTTGCAAGGCGGGGATATTAGGGGTCCGTATGAAACTCATGAATCGCAGAACTCGAGCTGCGTGAAACTCGCGAGGCCACTGGATATATCCTGTGTTGTGGTTCTTTATGACAATATAGTAACTGCTAACATTGAAAGTTACCTTTCATTATGTACCCTTATGCTAGAACACTTAACCCCAGGCTTCAGTTCTTGTCATTAATGTATTTGAATCTCCATACAGGCCTGGTTAGATTATGTTGCCAAGTAAGCATTTATCTTTCACTCACTCACACATGAGCCTCCCAGTCTTCCCCAACCCCAGGTGTGGTAGGGTTTTTGACCATCAACAGACTTGTGATCAATTACTGGAGGCAGTAATAATAATTGTACTGTAAATAGTCTAGATAGTAATAACATCATAAAACAAGTATTCTAAACCTCATTCTTCCTATAAATCAGTGTTCTTTACCTAGTCTACTGCCAACCTCAACCCAATTCATGCGTGCTCTCAACACTTCATAGCCCCGGTGATGCCAACCTGTGGTAAGTACATGTATTTCTTTACTGTTTACAGTATATCATGCATGACCAGTTTGCAAGATTATTTTTTTTTTTTTTTACTTTTTTAATTTTCCCAAATATAATGGGGGGACATTCCTACCATAGTCCATTGCCTGGAGGGGGGGGGGTTAGAAGTATACAGCTGGATACTAAGTCTATTAAACTTTATTTAGTAACAACTGGGAAAGGAAACTCATTACTATATCTGTATTTTTTTTTATAATAGGAAACTCTTCATATCTAACCATATACAGTACTATTTACCCACATGAATACAGTCATTCAAGTTGTGAACAGATAGCAACAGCAGTTGCTTGTTTGTCATATATTGTACATTTCTCCAAAAATCACACTGATGTATCTCACAGCAACTAAAGATTTCTCTGTGACTAGAGAATTAGTCACTCATATGACCAAATGTTAAAAAAAAAATATTAATAATAATTAAAAACAATATCCTTGGTTATGTAAGTGGCAATGTTCCTCAGTTCTGAATATGATAATTACATCTATTAAAATCTAGTATGCACTGTATCACAGATTTTGGTCAATACAATATATCTTAATGTTTTATTACAAAAAATACTGCTAATTACAGTGCAAATTTAAAAAATATGAGGCATTTTGATATATTACGATATACAGGTGGTCCCCTCATACGAACACTTGAAATTTACAATATTTTATTTACCTGATGACATTTTTTACTTTCATTTACTTTATTTTGTCATTCTATTTCTTCTTTTGTCTTAAATTAAGTGATTTTAGATGTATATGAGGACTTAGGCTTTGATATAGTGGGATTTTAAACATTGTTTTGTAAGTACAGTATGCACATAGCACATGTTCCGACTTACGTACAAATCCGACTTAAGAACGTCCTTAGGAATGGAACCCATTCATAATCCGGGGATTCCCTATACTACAATAAAATTTTGGTAATATTTGGTAAAAGTTTTAATTATGAGAGACCTTGGATTGGGTGCAACCGCTGCCCGCCCATCTCAGTGTAAACAAAGTATTATACGCAACACGCGTGTCGGACCTGTCGGTCACTCAGTTCATGTTGGCCAGTCATGGAGTGTATTCCTATGGTCTCCTGTGCAAGCTTTGTTCCCCCACTTGTTTTTTTGTCATTGCCCAGTGTTTGAGCCATTATATCTAATAACCATGAACCAAGCAATTAAATTTGGTAGAGGTGCTATACTTACATAACGTTTAAATTTTACTTGGGGCTGACAAAAAAAAAGTACCGTTGTTTTTTCCCTCGCGAAAAGGTGTGCCTCATATTTTGTAATGTCTCGTAATTTGTAAGGGCTAGAGTCCATATATTATGACAAAATGAAATATTCTTCCATGAAGGTTCTTTGTACGTATGCTAGATGCAAAGGATGCCATGCCATACAGTATGAAAATTACATAAAAATTTATCTGAGAAAGGGGATGACTGTCACTAGTCTATTACATTCAAATAAACACAAGTACTGTACTGATACAGTATATTGATGATTTCACATCATGTATAATACTGTCCTGTAAAATAAATACAACAGACTTGTAACAATATATCAGAGTAAAAAAGGGGGGGGACCACCAAAACAATATGCATTACAATGTGGTTTGTGGGTGGTACTTCAAATGACATGGTTAAGTAATTAAAAATATTTTTAAATGCAAAGTCTACCAAGTTGCTCACACAGAACCTCTCCTTAAATAATTTAACAATTCATTGCCTCTACACATTTGAAGTACAGTACTGATAATAAGAACAGCTGCTGAAGGATTTTGTTTTAGACTAGTTGTATAGTTTTTTTAGTTTACATAACTACCTTAAAGTATTTTGACAGAAATCTGTTCATACATATTGAATAGCAAGTCCAAAAAATATAGCTTCATCCTTGTCATTGTTTTTATGGCCATTTTTGCACACTTGAATGTGATTATATACGTATACTGCATATTATAAAAAAAAAAATATTTTAACTTGAAAACACAATAATGACTTAAAATGTGTATAAGAAGTCTGTGGATGTGAAACAGACAAGTTAAAAGAAAAGACAGATCCCTTACTGTAACAGCAGATCCAGAGAGGCCATAATATATTTACTAAGGTTCCACACAAAGAACCTTATGGTATGGTTGGAACAGTCATGTAGCAAAACAAAAACTTATGCGCTACCTTCATATTCAAAGCGATCTATTTTGGTTGGAAAAGCTGTATCATGAAACAAAAATTATGTATGCAGTACAGTAGTTTCATATTAAAAGTGATTTATTTCTTGTGATCTCCAAAATTCCTTATGCACTGTATCCAACAAAATTCCATTTCAATAGACAAAAACATCAAGAACTATGTGTTCCTCTACAAAGTCAACATACAATAATATCTCCGTTAGCCGGAATCCCTCAAACCTGGAACTCTCCGATAGCCAGAATTGATATTTTCTCGGAAAATTTTCCTGATACTCAGGATGGGGGAGTTTTTTCCAGGTTTGAGAGACTAAAATCAGGCACATTTTCTGGAAATTTTGAGAAAAATTTTCCGTTACCCGGAAAATTCTGGGATTGAGGGATTTTTTCTGGGTTCAAGAGATGATGTAATGGGCAATTTCTGTAACTTCTGAGAAAATATTTACGTTACTCGGAAAATTCCGAGGATGAAGGATATTTTTCAGGGTTTGAGAGATGATGCAATGGACAATTTCTGGAACTTCCGAGAAAATTTTTTCGTTCCCTGGAAAATTTGGGGGATGAAGGATTTTTTTCCCGGCTTTGAGAGTCATCTCGTTACCCGGAAATGCTCTGCACCAATTGTTCCAGCTAACGGGGATATCACTTACTGTATGAAGTAAATCATACACTTCACCTTTAAAATATAAAATGCACTGTGTGAAGTATTTTACAGTACTTGAAGTAAGGCAAGAGGGCAAATAGATTGTAAGATTAGACTGTATAGTGCATCAGCTGTGGTAAAAAATATCTTCATATAACATTTCATGCTGTTATCATCTATGAAATACCAATAGCATGATCAAGTTCGTATGTCAAATATGTTTGAAATGTTAAATATCAACACATTACCCAAGGTTTTTTCTAGAGCTACATTAACTTTTAAGAAATTTACATCTCGCCTGTAACGTATTTCAGACGATAGACTTAAGTTAAAATTTGAACATTTAAAATGTAAGATTTTTAACTTAAGTGCAATATTAAATTAGTGATAACTCCTTGATGTTGACAATGATGTAAGTAATATCCTTGTCCAGAGTGAATAATGAACTTGGTACAGGATCCTTTGGCCCTTTTTTTTTTTATGGTCAACAACTGCTGAAGACCATTTCAGTATGCTATTGATTGGATTCAAGGCCTCTCCAAAAATCTATTGCACAATTCCCTGCACAGTGCACCATAAAGTTAAAGAATTAAACAACCTAGTAAGATGTTTGACCAATAACCTACCAACCCATTTAGCTGCATTTTATCTAGACTCAAAACACAATCCTTCTTCGCAACATTCCTCTCTGTAGGCTTTTGTGTCAGGAACCTAACATCAAATCTCAGAAATTAAAACCAGGTTTATTAAAAGTAGATGAGCAGGAATGAAACTTATAGTGTATACAAGGGGTGGGGAAACTTTTGTGGTCAAAGTGCCAAATTGAAATTATAAGTTCTTCAGAGCCACCTGTTATTTTCAATCTATGCAGATTTAATGGATATGACCGCTAATTTTTAAGTTAGTCTTTTAAGTGTATAAACAGTATATCCTCTAAATTTCATCCAAATCTACCAATAAATTCTACACCTCCCCTTAAAAGAGAAAAAACTCGAGTATGGTTGCACACCATCCTGAGACCTCAGTCTAAAAGTGGCTCGGGAGACAGTTTCCCCACCCCTAGTGTAGACAAAACTGTAGCTTTTACAAAGTTAACTTTGTCCTTTAAAGAAATGTATCCTGATATACCTTGGAGTAATAATTACTGTATAAACATTTTTTTATCAAAAGGTAAAAAATCTCCATTCCCAAAAATGCTTCTGAGCACAATTCAAAATGACTTCAATCACCTTGGGGCTACGAAGATGATAATTTCTGATACAATATTTAAAAATGCTTTCTGAATTATATTTAGGGTTTAAATGCCAAGAAAATGGGCCATTGATATTCTTATTTCTGATGACTCATATCAGGGTTTAATCTTGATTTTATTTGTTTCATTCAAGGATAAATGGACATATTGCACCAAACTTCTCTACACTGTACAGTATAACTTATCCTATTGTAGTGTTCCTACTGATAATTAGCACAGTTTGTGTATGTTTTTGGAAAATCAAATTTATTTTTAAATATTCCTATTGTGAGAATTTATATTTCAAGCAACAACTGAGGAGCATATGGTCTACCTCATTAAACAAATTTTGGCAAGTTTCAGCAAGTGCAATTTTTTTTTCATTATGTAGGAAGACAAGTGCTTCAGCTACTATACAAGTTTAACACCTTAAAACAAGACAGATCATACAGCCACATGTTGTGACCGTTGCATTTAAGTGTCCAAAACAGTAAGGCCTTGAAAAATAATATCAGATGAAATAAATAAGTATTGGAAATTACCATTATGAATCTATCATGCAACCATTTCATGACCTCCATATAAAAATTACACCAGAGATAATGTCAGAGCAAAGAAAATTAAGTTCCTAAACATTACTACGCTGCACTGTACATGTTGAAGGACAAGTTAATCCTTCAGCTAGTCTAATATATTCTACTTAATGGTAATTCTTCAAAAAATGCTGTGGGCTGAGAATGTTTTACACACTATTACACAGTTCAGTTCTATAAAAACAGTAACCAAGAAATTGGACCAACAACCTTTGTTTAGTTTTTATCATCTTGCTTTTTTAAATTTGGTCTACAATAGCACAGGAACTAACCTTTCCTATGCAAATTTAGAGAACTCCTGTGTGAAACTTTAATCAATGTGTGACAAACTAGAACTAAAAACAACAAAAATATTCACAAATCATAATGTTCAAAGAACTATAACTTACTGCAACATGTCATACAGTTTTCTTAGGTATCAAAATACTAAATTAGAATTAAAAGTTCTAATCAAGTGATCTCATGACCCAAAGAACTTACAACTTGCTTTCATATGTTTTACCAAATAAAAAATACAACTTCAAAGACCAAGTGTGAAATACACAACATGGACATTATTATATTATCTAACAATATATACAGTATCATTATCCAATGCTACCTCTAACTCTTAAGAATACTATAGATGGACTCAGCAAAGCAAAATAATTTTGTAATGTACCATATACTAGTTCCAGGAACTACCTGTACTAAAAACAAACTCTTCACATGAAGGTTTGTGACTGACTTCTGTATGGTACCAAAATGATATTGAAAAAATGAAATGCAAATATTCTGTTCAAATGTCATTCAGTTTGAGAAAATGTAACCCTTATAAACTTTAATGAAATTTTTCTGGGAAGTCTCTGCAAGCACAGGGAACTCAATGTACACTAAACAAATATAGGACCACTTCAGGGAAACACTGAAATCAATAAATACACTCCTGAAACATTCAAATAATGTACTTGAATATATTCTGAAGCACCTTCACACTGCTTGAAATGCTAAATACAAAGTACTTTTCTCATTACTGTACTTCATAAAAGCTTTTGACATTTAGTGCACTGACTGACTTCCGTATTGTAATAATATGGATCTTTACAAGATGGAATGACTAAAGACAACATGTACTCTCTTGAATTATAAAATGGGATCATGGTAGCATACTATAACCATAACACATGAAATATTACCCCCTCCCCCTTTACTACAAACCAAAACTGGTATACAGTATATGCATACTGCAAACAAAAATGCATAACTAATACAATTTCAGCTTTCCACAGAAGAAGGGTCAATATAATAATTTAATTAAAAAAAAATCCAATGATAAGTAATGTGGATTCCAATAAAAACTTCATTATATAATCCCATCAGTTCTAAATCATAACTGCAAAGATTCCATGTTTTAAAACAGTAACTTCCTAATAACCATTGCAATGTGTAAATAACCAATCATGGAGGCCACATTACACTAAGACTAATGTACTCCCACCTAATGGAAACACAATCATGAAATGCAATGATCTAAAACAAATTCTTCAATCAAAATGAACAGAAAAAAGATAGAAATACTGTAGCACGATATATATTAAAACTTTATTCCATAATAATTTATATAGATTTTATTGTTACTGGTGTCAAATGCATGTAAGGAAAGTTATTCAACTAGCAGGTTGACAAAACAATAAATGGGTTGGTGTACCTCAGGTGTTGATACTTGACAGACCAGCTTAACAAAAATGAGATCGCGTTACTTCCCGTCAGTTTGTGCAGTAACCACGAGTGACTTCATGTTCTTGTATTGTCTAATCTTAGCCTTGCTCAAGAGGCCTAATGCCATAAAACTGAAACATTAGTACTACCAGTAGTTGCACGACTAGTCCTCATCTGGATGTGCCATTGTTTTTTTTATATGTACGAATTTTATCAATACCAAGGTCAAAATAATTTTAATTGAGGATTCAGATCTCCCCGATTCCCTGTCAACTCATCTAGAGTTGTTTGAATATACTAACACTACATTAAGTAAGGCTAGTGTTTTTTAATACTCCTCCACATACTTTAATATACAGTAGTACAGTACTTAGTTTTTTAAAACAAATTCCAGAGAGGAGCAAAAGCTTGATGTAATTACAAATAATCTTTATCAAACACTAAAATATTCCTTTGGTGCATCTTCATAAAATTGCACTTAAAAGAAAAACAAATACTTAGTTACCAGCAAAATGGGAAGAAAAGTCTTTTTTCATTTAAAATTATTTCTATCCTATATTTATATAATAAATGTTTCATGCAAATAGAAAAAAAGATTGACACCTTTACATTTTAAAAAGTACTTCATTGGTCCTCAAAAAAAGTTAAATTAAACAAAGAAAAAGTAAGTTACACTTGTTCTAATGAAAGTTCTACAAAGACCTATATGTTATGGAAAATATTGTTCTTTACAATTTTAATTAAATAGAAATATTTGTTGCCCTGCATTTCCACTTTATAATCTACCTTCACTTAAGACTAAGATCTACACTCAGGGCTACTGCTGAACAACAGCAGGGGCCAGGCCTGAGAGGAAGATGATGGCACGGTTGACAGCATTGCGTAAAAACACTGGGATACCTGGTTTGTTAACTGTATACTCCATGGTCATTCGGAGCTCATGGAACATGTTGCGGGTGTAAGGGTTGCGCCTTGATGAGTATCTCAATGTCAAGAAGCGATAGTAAACAAACGGAGTTAATAGACTGACTCTGCCCCTGAAAAAAAAAGTAAAATATTATTTAAAGCAAATTATACAAAATGTTCTGGTTTTGAAATAAAAGGAAGGAAAAACTGCCCTTTATAAAGATGACTAGGCCTACATCCTACAATGGATAACCATTCTCCTCAACAGGTCCCTCGCTCTATGAATGTTCTACTCTTACATTTCTTACTTTCTACATGAAAGCAATATTTACTCATACCAAAAAAGGTCCAAGCAAACATTCAAATCGCATGAGCCCAGGAACCAGCTGGGGTGACCATCTTGAAGAGATGTGCAGAAGCGTTTTCTTCACTCAAGGGTCATAATAGCCTCCTCTCCATTTTGTGTCTTCCCACCCGCCATTAGCTGTTTGTGAAGTGCTCTCTATTTATCCATTTGTCTTTGTGCCATCCATACATGACTTTGTACACCATGGTATCCCAGCATTCCACTGATTCCTCAGCTAACTCCACCACCAAGAGAGTCAAAATGCTGTGACTTTTGAAACAAAGCTGGAGGTAGTGAAGCATCATGAGGAGGGTAAAGGCCTAACCATGATCAGACGAAGCCTAGGCCTGCCTGTGGTGACCATAAGGTAATGTTCCAACTTTGTTTAGCAATGTATTATATTACTGTGTTTTTTGTTTATCATGAACAAAATATTGTTTTTTAGGTATAATAGTGCAGTTATTTTGTTGTTTGTAAGCTAATTTCATTATTTTTACATTTAAAATTTTGGTTTTCTGGTTCAGGAACCAGGGCCGGATTAAGGTGTGAGCCGAGTGGGCCTCCACCACTAAAGTTAACAATTATAAAAGCATGTAGTGTTCCCAAAATGTTCAGCTTTTATTTTAATACAGTACTGTACGTGCAATTGTGTAGTGTTCATGCTGATTTTGTGCAGTTAAAATAATCTCAATAATATTACTTAGATTACTTCAGGATGACTTGTTAAAAAAACAGGACACTAAAAATGATGCATAGAAAATCTAGCGACTTTTGGGTCAAAATAGTGACTTTCGAAATTTGAACATAACAAGTTGGCAACCATTGTAGCTCATTCAGTCGTTTACAGGTCCAATAAGGTATGGGCAGGGCTGCTTTATTTTATTTTATTTTTTTAAATGCAATGTGCACTGTGTATTTATATTGTGCTACACATAAGGGGTAAAAAGATCAAGAAAATAGTAAATTAAGAAAATATCCTCAATATCTTGTTACTTCATTTGTTTACAAACTTGAACTGTGTGTTTATGTGTGGTATTAAAAACTATGTGCACATTTTCTCTCTTCATACAGTACTGTACTGCAGATGATAAAATATGAACATGTTTCATCATCTAAAATTTACAATTAAATTTACATTTATTTTTATTTTTATTTTTTTTCAGAACCTTTTTTGGTACCATCGTGATATAAGCAATAGAAGAAATGAACATGATCAGCATAAGACACATTGCATCTTCAAAATTCTTAAGCTTCATTATGAAAAGGGCCTACACTATCCTAAATCCAGCCCTGTTGGGAACGTAATCCTTTTTTTCTCACTTAATTTGTTAATTTCTATTAAAAAATCTGATACCAAAAGGTTTTCAAGGATGCCTGTAGTCTTAGGGCCCACTCACACCGAGGCCAGAAGTGTTCCAACACAAATTGTCTAAGACAGACGATATGTGACGCCGCGGTGGGTATGAAGATTTTCTCACCTTAGCTAATACCTGTTACACGACTCACTGTCTTTTTAGTGAGTGAAATTGTCTTCCCTCTAGTATAAAATTTGAAAGATTCGAACTGGATGTGATTCGAATATAGTGCGAGATATGTGTTGTTAACTTGACTCACTCATTTGGACAATTTGCGCCAGAATATGTCCGTTCCAACCTCAATGTGAGCAGGCCCTTAGTCTCCGCTAGACAGGAGCAACCAGTTCACAGTAAATCATAGTAAAAAGCATTACCAGTATGCTGAAGCTGTTAGGTACTTTAGATCAAACTGTATGCTGTTAGTCAAATATTATCCTCCACCTTTATACATCCCAAGTAATCTGCCGGCAAAAACTATAATAAAGACCCTCTTTTTGAGTCCATAGCACATGAGGTTATCAGAGTGCTTTAGCTCTATTTAGTGTCACTCAGCTGTACATGGGGACACTGCAAACTAAAGTATCCCCATCACTTTAAGTTTCCCAGATGGTTTCATTTTACTGAAATACACCTTTTCACATATCCGTTGAGACATTGTTACATAACTATTTGACAAATTTCATAACCAAATGACAGAACACGTATCGAATGACAATGTAAAATAACTGTTCGTTCATGCTAACGGAAGTGATTGACATAAGTTATGAAGTTGACAGACGTGAACAATAAACCGACAGTCTACATATAGTTTGAGAATGTAACAATTGGAGAATGACATACCACCAACAGTTATTTTAGATTGTCATTCGATATGTGTTCTGTCTGTCATTCGGTTATGAAATTTGTCAAATAGTTATGTAACAATGTCTCAACGGATATGTGAAAAGGTGTACTGTATAAGTTCAAAGCTGGAAGAAAGACAATGCGAGATAAATTAGGTTTGACAGTTATAAATAAATACTCACAGGAAAAGTAAAACAACAGTGAGAGGCATGAGGAAGATCTCCACAAATGCAGCTCCACGCAGGATATTTCTATGTTGAAACTCTACCAAGGAGATGAGAAACCTTGACCCTAGAGCATTATTTTGACCTATGACCTGATGGAAAAGAAAAGCAGTCAATAGACAAGACAATACACATATATATATATTTGTAAATTATGACCAATAATTTCGCGATACAGCCGGTAAATCCGCCCTTACGGAAATTGGGGCAAATTTTAACAATAAAAAAAAAAGCACTATAAAATTAAAATTTGTTGTTAAAAATTATAATTTGTTTGGTGTGGATTTCTTGGTGTTTGCTACCACCAAGAGTCATTCCACTGTTTACATCCAGTGTGCGCGCATGTTTCTCGCCCCAGCAGTTGGATTTAACCTTCACAAACATACAGTAAGTACAGTACAGTGCATTACCCTTATTCAAGATGACTGGGAAGAGGCCATCAAGTGGAAGTGGTCGCAGTAGTGCAAAAAGAAGCCGCAAAAGTGAGTACAGTACAATACTTTTATTTATTACAACTGTATTTCTCTTCACATTACATGTAGTATATCATAAATTATTTAATGTACTGTATTGTATGTGTTTATAAATGCTTATTTTCATTAATAAAAGTGCTTGAATTACTTTTTTGAGGCAGAAAAAATTCCTTAGGAAAGCATCTCCAGTTTTATAATGGAAGTCAACAAGTCAATGGGAAAATAGGTTTCGCGATACGGTCAATTTTCCAGGGACGCAACCCTTCCATAAAGCGGGGATATATATTTCCCTTGTTACTTCATACATACTACCATCATATCCATTCCCCAAATCCACTAGAAGGCAAAGTCTTGGGGCACTTATAAATATCACTGTTTTCAGGATATCTAACCTCCTCACTCCCTATGTATCCTTTACACCATATTAGCTGTGCTGTCTTTCCCTCTCGCTCTTACTGTGCATCTCTGCATTATACTTAATCAAAGCCTAATTTGCTCTCTTCCTTATTTAGAATTTTTACTCCCTGCATCTCATTAACCCAACACATACCTGGTACCACTTTCAGGCACATCAGTTATTATGCTTCTAATTTACTCATTGCCACTTCATACAGAGTACATAGTTTACATTTATTGGCAATAATAATGGGGGCAGAGCAATTCCCTTCAACAACCCGATCTTTGACTCTTTTGATAATTCTCTGCAAACATTTCTCAGTACACATACAGTACTTTCTTTCCCCCCCACAACATTCTGGTTTGATTCAACACTCATTGTTCTACTTGCTGGTACATCATCCACTCCCATATATCTCAAATATATTACTGTATTGCTTCCATTCAAGCTAACAATCACTCTTCCTGTCTGTCTTCTCTACTCAGTAAGAAACACATCCCCCAACACCCCTAATTTTGTTTACATATTCAAGTTCAAAAGTTCAAAGATGACATGACACTCACTTTTAGGTCCACAGACTATAAATATCTACTTGACACATGTACACACTAAAGGGGACTGTACATACATTTAATTTAAACTGCTCAACAGAAAGGTTTCAAAAAGGCTACTCAAATGTTACTCACTGGTACATTATTAAAGTCATACTCACATCAAGGAGTCCAAGAGAGTAACTGGCAAAGTGCAATAATGCAAATAAGAATATTGGAGCCAGGACCATCGTGACTGGGGATGTATACATGAAGATCAGGGAGTAGAGGAGGTAGTGAGCTGAATCCTCCATCAGTAGTTGAGCAATGAATTCTCGTGATAAATGAACTGATGGGATCCGCTGGTGAAGTCTCAAAGCAGATGTAGCAGCATTGCTCATCAATACTTTCTGGTAGCTACTGTGGGGGTTCCTGTAAAAGAAATAGTAAAATTCATCCATGTACACTATAACTAAAAAAAACAGTATTATTTGAATTACCATAAACGTTTATATAAACTCCCACACAAGTGAATAACTGTAACTGATTCCATGAATTAAAAGTAAAATTGCTCACCATATACAGGTAGTGGAAGTCAACATTTGACGATAAGCTAAAAGAAACAAAGCAGTAAAAGCAATTCATCAAATAAAACTGTGAATATAACTGCATTACTTTCCTAAATGAAATTCAACTTACACTAAACACACAAATAGCATTCACTACAGACAAGTATTTATCAGCTCTCATCTGAAAAAGATGGTATGGCTTTGATGTCAACTTAACAATGCCAGACTGTAACACACTTTTCACTTAATATAATTGAAGACTTATGTTTCCACTCTTCATGGCCAACAATAAGACCAAAAAATATTAATTTACAGTATAGTGAAAATGGGTCCCATTGGCCTGACAGCCCATTAAACACACTGTAAATATGGCACATGGTATAATGAGCTTTATTACACACAGGGAGTTTGAGTAGTAATGCACTTGACCACTTTCATTTCTCCAACTATAAAGTTAGGTACCCACTGACAGCTGAGTGGGGTTAAGTGCCCCAGGATCAAATCATGAACCCTCAGGACTAGAAAACATAACTGTATCCACTCAGTCACTACAACTTATAATCTACTTAAAATATAGAGGCCACAACTAGTTAAATTACTGATGGATCCCCCTTAATATGTTATGGAAATTTATGCTAATTGTAAAACGGTGTTAAATGAAAATACCAAGAACAAGGCCAACAAACCAAATATTTGTTTTTGAAAAGTAACAAACTAACTCAAACTATCATGGCATTTTTTTTTTAATATACCTGGTACAGATAGGTCATCTTGTGATAAAATGTGTCACATTCTTTCATGGAGTCGCGAGTCAGGGTGATCACAAACATTTTGATAATTAAGACAAACTTAACCTCATTTTGTGTGACAATGTTCACTCCCCAACACACCGTCACTTCCCACAAATAAATCGGTGCAGTTTGGCCCTATTTTCTGTTACACACTTAGTCTGCCATTATAGGATTGACAATATAAAAAAAGACACCATTGTAATTTTGTGCTACTGTATTGTACACACCTAAAGATGCAAAAATGAAGTTGCAACAAGGCCACACACAGTAGGTCTTAAGTGTGCCGCTTAAGTGTGTTACCGCTTAATTTACTATCAACTCAATGTTTCTAATAAATGTAAAGTCTCATACACCCTCAGGCCATACAGTGAGTGTTTCCATATACAGTATATGAGAGATTAATCCCGAGATCCCATTTTACAAAGTGTATGGAAAAGATACGGTAATTTAATGGGTTCAACAGCTTGTGGCAGTAAGCCCCTCAAAGTTTCTAGAAATCCTCCACTTAGGTGACTGGGTTATACTGCAGCACAACTGAAGCCCCTACAAATAGTGAGTTACTCTAATGAATCAGGAGCCTGAAGACCAACACTTTCAAGAAGACACCATCATGCCATTGCAAAGTTATAAAATTTTATTTCCAAGTAGAATTCCTAAACTTATTCGCAAAAAGTATTGTTACTGATACATGTTCATATATTAACATTTACTACAGAAATGTGTGATATGCAGAAAAGGATGAATCCTACAAATAAAAATTTCCACTCATCACTACTGCCTCTAATCATTCTTGGGCCTCAGGGAGAGCGAGCCAAGATGCATTTGTTATCTATTCACCGCATTACTCTAAGGAAATACCTCTTGATCGAACATCATTGTACTATAACCAAAGAATACTATACAGTATTCAATTTTACACACAAAAGTAATCACCACAAAATTCCCATTCATTGAGCTAAAATAGGAAACATGCCATGTAAATATTATAGAAAAGCCATTTGACACATACCCAAATATTGGTATAAGGTATGATATGCAGAAAACAAGAGTGAGGGCTCGTGTGGCCCAGAGTGCCATGTCCACTTTGTGCTCCAGTACATGAGTCTTAAGGGACTCGACACTACCCACACGCGGCCTTTCTTCCTGTGGCTGCTCATTCTGCTGTTCATCTGTCATCTTTGTTGTACTTTACTACAAGTAAAAGGAAAATTTTTTTAATATTTAAAAAATTTAGTTTTTCAGTTCATGTCACAATATTTTATGTTTCAGAATATAGAAAGATATAACATATTTAATGTTTTGCTACACACACACACACAAACACACACACAAAGGTTTAGTTGATTGAACATATGGGTTAATGCCACATTTTGACAAGAGTCATTTAAAAGCAGCTCAGGGAAGTAAGCAGATGCTTCTCTTTTATTTTGTATATATGGGTAACAATAAATGAACAATTTAATACAGAATTGTGTTTAAAATTGCAAAATTCATTCAAATTATTTAACTATGCATTTCAATAAAAATAACTAAATGTCGAGAAAGATTGTGGTCACTGGCAACATATTCCTCACGCCTATGGAACCAAAGCACAGGCAATATTCATCAATTTCACTTCAGAATCAATGTAAGTACAATGTACAGTAGTCCCTTGCCAACCGTGGGCATTAGGTTCCTGAAAATCTCCATGGTTGGCAAATCTGCGGTTGGAAAGACTAAATGCTGATGGGAAATTGAGGGTAAGTTCCATGGTTGCAGATAACACTCATCAAAGCCTAAGTTGCCTGTTCCTTCACTAAACAATACCTGTTGGGAGTTGTGCATTTAATTAAATTTGAGTGAAGTAAGTATGTGTTAGACTGTCTCTGTAGCTACATCCCCATACCAGGCCAAGCTGTGTTATTAATTTTTTCCAAGTCGTATTTTTGGGTAGATACAAGGAATTTTTTTTTTTTTTTACACTATTACAAAACACACAATCATTCATACTGAATGTGAAAAAAATATTAAAGTAATAATTATAAAGTCAAAATCATAGAGAATAAACATTTCTCATGTCTGCAGGAATTAGCCACAATCGTGGGAGGGGGTAATTTATTAGCTCAAGGGTGGGGCAGTCACCCCGGTTCCCCCTCCCCTTCAGTAAGCCTATGAAATGGAGAAATCTAACCTACAGAACCTAACTAAAATACTACAGTTATGTCATATTTCATTCATCTAAAATAGAATAAATTTCCTTTTTGGTGAAAAGAACCATTCCTACAGTTTAAACATAGCATTCATGACTTGGTTGTGTCTGGCTGTCTTCCTCCGCTCATTCCGCACGTCAAAACTGATCTTGCAAAACACATTCCTCCTGCATTTTACTTTTACCTTTACCCTCTTCACCATTGATCTGCTCGTTAGCCGCTTGGGCGATCGGCCACGTCTCTGCTATGCACTGTTGGCAAGTACTGGGCATGCACTGGCTCCTGAATGTATCTGAACCTGCTCCAGTGTTTGTCAAGCCTGATCCCCCAAAGAGTTCACACTCGGTGCCGTTACAACACTCTCTGGCAGATTGTTCCAAGAGTTCACAAGTTCTCACTCCAAAAAAGTTACCCCTCACAGTTTTCAAGACTTGCGGCTTCTTCATCCTTGAGCTATGACCCCTTGTGGGGCGAGCATCCGCCAGCTCCAGGTAAGGAAACTCGACTGGTTTTTCTCAAGGTAGGAAGTCTTTTACCTTCTATGGATAAATTTTACCAGGTTATTGCTTAGGTCGGACCAATCTCATCAATTTTTTGCCAAAATTCCTTGAAAAGAATCATTGACTCAAAAAATTAAACATGACAGATTGAGGGAGTTTTGATAGGTCTTATAAGAAGGGCGTTCAGATATCTAGTCCCTTGTAACGATCTTCAAGAGTGAAGTGCTTCCCCATCTGGATTACGGTCACCCGGTCTGGTCCCTGAGATATACTATAGCGTGTTTTTCCCCAGCCAAGTTTATCAGTTAATTCACGTATACCGGTAATACTTATGATAAACTTCCAACGTGCTTATGTTTGAAATAATGAAGGTACGTATCTTTATATAATTTAGCTAAATATCTTTCTCATCAGAAACGGTCATCGCAACGATTATGAATAAACTCATTTAGAAATACATCATTACTCAGGACAAAATTGGACAGGTTTGCAACAGCCAATCAGCTGTAACTCTTAAGGAGGGAGCAGGGCATTTTTTCTCAGCTCAAAAAAATATTCGCTATAGGGACTGTCAGTTGGTTGAAAATGTTCAAAGGAGGGCCACCAGACTGGTGCCTGCGCATCAGCCACCTCAACTACCCTGAGAAATTGGAGCGCCTGAACTTGCCTAGCTTATACTACCGACGGGCAAGGGGTGACCTAATTGAAGTGTATAAGCATCTCAAGGGGCACTACTCAGTCGATGTGTCCTTACTAGGAGCTGGCAGACGCTCGCCCCACATGGGGTCACAGCTCAAAATTGAAAAAGCCGCAGGTCCAGAAAACTGAGAGGGCAAACTTTTCCGAGTGAGAGTTGTGAACTCTTGAAACAATCTACCAGAAAGTGTTGTGACGGCACCAAGCGTGAGCTCTTTCAAGACCAGACTTGACCAGCACTGGAGCAAGTTCAGGTACATTCAGGAGGCAGTGCATGCCCAGTACTTGCCAACAGTGCGTAACAGAGACGTGACCGATCGCCCAAGCGGCTAACGAGCCGATCAGTGGTTGAAGCGGTCTGACTAATTACCCAAATGTAGCCACAATGAAGTTAAATAATGGTCCTACATGAATAAATCGGACTGCTAATCACTTCTCGACTAGTATTTGGTGTCACAAAGTCACAAAAAATTGGAAAACTTACTTTAATCTGAGTTAACAGATCGCGTGCATGTACCGAGGGAGCGAGTAATTACCGAAATGTACCCAAATGTAGCCGCAATGAAGTCAAATGATGGTCGTACAAGCGTAAATCGGGCTGTGAATCACTTCTCGATTATTATTTGGTGTCATAAAGTCACAAAAAATTGGTAAACTTAATTTAATCTGCGTTGTGTTAGGTTAGGTTAGGTTAAGTTAGGTACATGCACTCGATCTATTAACTCAGATTAAATTAAGTTTACCAATTTTTTGTGAGTTCGTGACACCAAATACCATAAATTGATATTACATAAAACAAATTCTCTGTGCACTTTTTGTCCATTTCGTGAGGTAAGAAAATAATTTATTTTATATAGTAATAGTGTATATAGGGAGTGCCCCTGATGATGACTACAGTAGTATTACAATACCTAAATTATTCATCAAAGTTTCACCAACGTTCCTGTACATTCAACAAATACTCGTACGATTATTAATTTTATAACTAGGGTGAGATTGATGCCTATTAATACTATAATAATCTTCACAATACAAATGAATCCAGGATCACCTATATTAACCCTTCCTGACCTAATATTAACAAAGGGTGCAGGTGGTAACTGGTAAACGATATCTCTACTAGAGTATGTGTGTTTCACCAAGATGCCGGGCTTAAGCTTGGTATTAATCAGCTTCATTAAATAAAAGTTAAGCTGAGGTGCGGGGATGACTAGTGAGGATGTCGTCACTTTCATCCTGCCGACACATTAATCCACTTTACCCCCTCAAATAGTCACAAAAGCTTATTGAAACCCTCACCTAATTGATAACTACCTATTTACGTTAACAACCAGTACCTCGTTACCAGATCTTACCTTTAACTGAGATGAAAAACAAGAGAAATATGAGACTCGAGACTGACACTTGTGAACTACCGTCAGGCTACTCTTTCTTCAACTTACTTCAGGATTATATCAACGATATTTATGTATTTTTTTCATTTAATTGGTTCTCTATTATATGTCTAAACAATACTATGAAAATATAATTTGTAAACTTTTATATTAAATCCATCAATCCCGTATAAAATATTTGTCTATGCATTTAGTTATATCTAGTATGTGAGAAGTATCTAATCCAAATTATTCTCCTTTAACATTAATAATAATTTTCCCGAATAAATCAAGTTATGAACACTGTTTCTCTATGTTCACCTCATATATACAGCTTTATATTATGGAATTACAAACTGCAATATATATATTTATGACTTCAACTTCAATAAAAAATAAATATTTCATCTTACGGCAGAGCTGATAAGAGGTGAATGATGAAAAACCTCAGCCTCACAGATAACACTATCACCTGTGCCGGCATGATTTGTATTCGATATAATACTACTGTAAATTGTGAGTTTGTGCCATCAAAACAAAACTTAGACATGAAGAAAATGTACTGAAATTTCACATGATTATTATATAGATGAAATTGGCAAGTTATTTCGGGAAATTAAGAACCAAGCTGACTGTGAAGAGCTGCAGAAGGACCTCTGTGGGCTCCAGGAATGGTCGAAGAAATGGCTGCTGAGATTCAATGTCACCAAGTGTAAGAGGATGCACCTGGGGCGTACCAACGGGATGAGGAAAATGTACTAGTTGAGAATGTGTGTGAGAAGGACCTAGGTGTGTATGTTGACAATGAGCTGAAGTTCTCGGGCCATTGTGAGAAGAAGGTAAATCAGGCAAATAAATTATTGGGTCTTATAAGAAGGTCGTTCAGATATCTAGACGGTCCGTCCCTCGTGACGATCTTCAGGAGTGAAGTGCTTCCCCATCTGGAGTACTGTCACCCCATCTGGTCCCCGAGATATGCTAGGGACTGTCAGTTGGTTGAAAATGTTCAAAGGAGGGCCACCAAACTGGTGCCTGCACTTCGGCACCTCAGCTACCCTGAGAGATTGGAGCGCCTGAACTTGCCTAGCTTATACTACAGACGGGCAAGGGGGGACCTAGTTGAGGTGTATAAGTATCTCAGGGGGCACTACTCAGTTGAGTGTCCTTACTTGGAGCTGGCGGACGCTCGCCCCACAAGGGGTCACAGCTCAAGATTGAAGAAGCCGCAAGTCCAGAAAACCGTGAGGGCAAACTTTTTCGGGGTGAGGGTTGTAAACCCTTGGAACAATCTACCAGAGAGTGTTGTGACGGCACCGAGTGTGAGCTCTTTCAAGACCAGACTTGACCAACACTGGAGCGGGTTCAGGTACGTTCAGGAGCCGGTGCATGCCCGGTACTTGCCAACAGTGCGTGACAGAGACGTGACCGATCGCCCGGGCGGCGAGCGAGCCGATCAGTAGCGAAGAGGATGAAAGTAAAAAGTAGGCTTGTAGGGGAGAGATCCACTACACTACCTCCAAGATATGGTACAGCGGTAACGCGTGTATCAATGATTCGAGCCTTAACCCGGACACACGTGATAACTATTCTAGGTGTTATTCCTCGCCTTATAAATAGGTTTAGGGCGGGCGGGTCGTGTTGCGTCTCTGTAACAAAGCGTGTTCGGCATCCGGGCCTTCGATGTAGAGCGGCAGAAATTGGACAGTGATTACATAAGTTCGTCAAGATCGTCTTAGTGAGGTGAAAGGGTAAATCGATGTCGGACTTTTCATGCTAGACACGATTGTATTTTTGAAAACTCAATTTCCACCGAGTTGGAGGTACAGCCAGGGTCACAGGCCTATAACCACACAATCACTGCCACATGACAAAGCTTTTATTTTATTTTATTTTTTAGGGTGTTGTGGTCACGGCTGTGATAAAGGCCAACCAGGGAGTGTAGTACTGTGCCTTCAGTTAAATCAGTTCATAGTTGTCATCAGTGAATGCAGAAGAGACTATAATAACTTAAAGTGAATACATATTGGCAATCGAGCTGGTAAGGACAACTGCCAGCCTATTCGTGTCATAGGTGCCACAGAGACTTTAAATTTTATTTTGTTTGTGTGCTTGCTCAAGGACTGAATCTGTGTTTATAATACACCACTCACAGGGAGATACAGTGTACACAGTGATAGTTCATAGTGTCATCAGTGACCGCTGAAGTTGTAAATAACTTAAAGTGAGCGCTCACTAGCAAGCAAGCTGGAAAGGCACCGTGCCAGCTGAAACCAAGTCGTGTCATAGGTGCCACAGAGACTTTAAATTTTATTTTATGTTGATTGTGTGCTTGCACAAGGACTGAAACTGTGCCTACAATACACCATTCACAGGGAGATACAGGGTACGCAGTCGCAGACGACAACTCCATAGGCAACAGAGAGTAGCTAAGTACTTTTTTCTCTCTTTATTTTCTTTGAAATAGGTGTAGATCTATACACAGTCTACACCCCCCCCACAACAACAACAACCATGAGTTTGGTATGTGATTACTGCAGGGAGACGTCGGATATGGAGGATGCAGGCCTAACTAATGCAACGTCTAGGAAGTTACTAACTGCCGTAAAGCTTGATGGCTGTTGCTGGTATTGCCCTGGCTGCATAGTCAAGGTGAATGAAGCGATTGCAATCCATAAGGGAACGAGTTCTCTAGGGACGAAAATAGATGAAGCAGGAGCCCTGCTGGTTGACAAACTGGAGCAAGTTGAGAAAGAGATCCTTGCTAAGACTGAGGAAGTAGCTAATAGAATGGAGGTGGTTGCTAAGAGGAGCTATGCGGACGTATTAGGAGGGCCACGGGTGGGGGGGGCGGAGAGTAATGCAGAATCAGTACAGGTTCTACAGCAGATTGGGACTCTGAAAAAGTGTGTCGAAGAAATGAAAATTAACGGACCTACTGTTAGGGGAGAGGAGGAACACCAGGAACGGCTCCAGCGCAGGAACAATGTAATAGTTTTTGGAGTCCCAGAGAGCCAGGCAGAGGGAACTGTGAGTAAGGAAACACACGACAAGGTGCTGTTTCAAAATATTTGCACAGAGGTTCTGAAGATTCCAGCAACCCCTCAGGATGTGAGGAGACTGGGACAAAAGCAGGGGGCTAAGCCTCGCCCCCTCAGGATCACATTAGGGAGTGAGGAGGAAAAATGGCAAGTTATCCGGCAGGCAAAAAACTTAGCAAGGAGCGAGGCATTTCGAGATGTATTTATTCACCCAGACCGCACGGTAATGCAGAGGGAACAGCACAAGAAGCTCCTGCTGGACTTGAAGCAGAGGAGGGAGGAGTCGAGAAGGAACGGGGACAGGTGCACATGGGTTATACTCAGGGGGAGGGTAGTGGAAACAAGTGTGCCGACACAGGGCCAGGGGGCAGCAGTGCACCCTCCACCCACTCAACCCCCCACCCGGGAGGCGGCACCAGCTCAGCCTACCGGACAGGAGGGAACGAGCGCCGTGTAAACAATGAAATTTTTAACCACACCCTGCAAAATACAGTGTACTTAGCAAATGCTGCAGCTTCTGAGAATGTGGGTGGAGCGGGTTTATTACTAAGAGCAGAGACGTTACCGAGAACAAATTCTGGCTTGAATGTCATGTACACTAATACCGACACGTTCCTGGATAAGAGGGAGGAGTTTGAAACACTACTAAGAGTACACCAACCAGATATTGTAGGAGTTGTAGAACTGTTGTACAAGAACAGGAGAATCGACCCAGAGGAATGTGAGTTCAGTATTGCTGGATATGACTCATTTACGAACCTAACTCAAGAATCCTGCAGGAGGGGTGTGGTTATCTACGCTAGGCAAGACCTTAGAGCCAGCCAGGCGAGGGTACAGGGAGAGGATGTTTTTGAAGAGTCCAAGTGGTGTAAAATTAAATTAAAGGGAGGGGACTTACTTATCGTCGGGTGTATCTACAGATCCCCGAACTGTGGCCCACTAAATCAAAGGAACTTAAGAACCTTAATAAACAATGCGGCGATGCTCAACCCCAGCCACCTCCTTATCATGGGGGACTTTAACTATGGCGACATCGACTGGAGAAACGAGTCAACCCCGAATGACTTGAATAATCCTGCTACTCTTTTTGTAGAAACTCTGAGAGATAATTTTCTGTTCCAACATGTGAGAGACCCGACACATTACAGAGGGGAACAAACACCCAAGCCACTTGACCTCATCATAACAAACGAGGAGGGTATGGTGGCCAAACTGGAACACCTTGCCCCAGTTGGCACCAGTCACCATACAGTGTTGTCATTCAGATTTAACTGTTACCTAGTTCAAGATAAGGCCAGGCCAAGGTGCAAATATTACAAGGGAAATTACAATGGGATGAGGGAAGAGATGAGGGGTATCAACTGGCCTGACTTATTAAGGTACAAGAACGCAGACACTACGCTGAATATCATAACTAGTAAAATGACCCATTTGATCGATAAATATATACCCAAGACCAAACCCAGTGCTTCTAGGAATACGAGGGGATCCCTACACATGAACCATGCGGCGGTCGACAAAATTAAGAAGAAAACCCAGAAATTCAAGACGTGGGTTGGGTCAAACGATGAGCAAGACAGGAGGATGTATGCAAGAGCCAGAAACCAAGCAAAGATAGAGTGTAGGAGGGCTGAAAAGGAGTTCCAAAGGCTGGTTGCACGCGAGGTCAAGTCAAACCCAAAGGCGTTTTACCGCTATGCAAAGTCGAAATTGAAAACGCGAGTAGGAGTATCAGACCTGAGGCTTGAAGATGGTAGTTACGCAGATTCTGACCAGGATAAAGCTGAGGCATTGAACAGCTTCTTTTCCTCAGTGTTCACAAGAGAGGATGCAACTAACCTTCCTGCGTTTGAGGACAGACGGTTCGACACAGCACTGACCCACATTGTGTTCACAGAAGAGGGTATTAGAAATAAACTGTCCAGGCTAAAGGTCCATAAGAGTCCTGGACCTGACATGGTGCATCCTAGAGTGCTAAGGGAGCTGTGCAACGAGCTTGCAGAGCCCCTGAAGATTCTGTTTTGTAAATGCCTGGATGAACAA